TTTTTTTTTTTTTTTTTTTTTTAGGCAGAGTTCTTAGGCCAATTTTAAGTTTTGTGTTGTGAGCATCTTCCATCCTTATGTTTTGGATAGAGACTGAATCCTGTCATGGTAGGGATGTGATAGCTGCATAATGCCTGAGAAAAAGATTAACTGAATAACTTAAGATTTGATTTATTTTTCCTTTCCAGCAAAAACCAAACAAACAGGTTCATGCTTCAGAGCTAAGTAGAGGATTTAACTAAGTCATGCTTCATCTTACACAGAGCCAGTTCTGTAGCTGAGTGAAGGGTTCATCCATAGCAGTTGCAGCTAGATTTAATTCGGTGTGATTTGTGTGCAACCTAAGCAAGCTGACAGTACACCTCACAAAATTTTGATTACTAAAAGACTCACGGTTTGCTGCTTTTTATAACATGTTATTATGTTCCTCACCTTTAAACTGACTTCCAACAGATGCAGTTGCAGATGCAAAGAAGTCCCTACAACTCAACCCCAGTAATGCTGTAGCTCTCCTTAGAAAAGGGTATGTATCCTATGTTGTGCTTTGGGAATATTGTGATGATCTGTAATACTGGTATTTGGATTTCGGCTCTATACAAGCTTTTTGCAATGCCATGAATGAATAAATTTAATGCCATAGTGCTCGCAACCCATCCATAATAATGTGGTTGTGAGAAGTGATTTAGTTTGGGGTGATTATGTTGACAACTTGGCCTTTTCAAAAACACACCTCTTCAGCAATTTAAATTCATACATGTGTAATTTTAACCAATGTAGTGTGTAAACTAAGGATGTTGTGATCTTCAGAATGCAGATTAGATTGAAAAGTAATTACTGTTCCTTGTGTTTTTCTTTGTTCATGTCAGGTTAGGTGAATATCATATCAAAAACTACGCATCTGCTTTAGAGTCTTTCAGAGAGGGACAGAGGTTGGACAGTAAGTATTAAAGTTTCTCGTGTGCACACTCCTTCATTGCTAATGAGAAAAAACCTTTTTCTAATGTGTTAGCTGGAAGTAAAGATCAAGGCTTTCTTTTCTTTAGGTAGCTAATGAATTAGGTGCCTGATTTGAAATGTGTAGCTTTTGGGGAGGTTTTTGCAATCACTGCATTAAAGAGTAAAACTGCCTAAAAGTGTGTATCAAAGTTATTAGCAAGTGGTATATGAATTATTTTTTTTTCTTTATAAGATGAGAGCTGTTTCTCTGCTTCCTGGAGGTCACAAATAAACAGTGGCAATGTCAAGTACAAAACTTCTGAACAGAAAAGGTTCCTTCCACCAGAACAGAAAATGGTTCCTTCCATTTCTTAGTTGTTAAACTGTTTGATAGACTGGCCTTCAGGAAGGACGTGCACCTTGATGGGTGTTCAAAATTATAAAATGGATTTTTACCTCACATTAAGCATCACTTAATTACAGAAGCAAAGTTATTATCTCTCTCTTCTTAAAGTATTGGCCTCTCAGCTGGACTCACGCATGTTTTAGTTTGCGGAGAATTAGAGCTTTTTTCAAAATCTGATTTTTTTTCCTGGAAGCAGGAAAGGAGTAGATCAATACAGAAGTCTTTGGTAGAAGATACAGGGAAGCATACAGCAAAGCATTTGCAAGATCATGGAAGCATAGAATGGTTTAGATTGGACCTTAAAGATCATCTAGTTCCAACTGCCTTGCTGTGAGCAGGGACACCTCCCACTACACCAGGTGACTCCAAGCCTCCTCGGGCCTGGTCTTGAATACTTCCAGGGATGGGGCATCCACAGCTTCTCTGGGCAGCCTGTTCCAGTGTCCCATCACTCTCACAGTGAAGAATTTATTCCTGATACCTAATCTAATCTCCCCTCTTTCAGTTTAAAATCATCAGCCTTCACCCTATCCCTACATTCCTTGATCAAGAGTCCCTCCCCATCTCTTCTGTACGCCCCCCTTGGGTACTGGAAGGCCATTATAAGGTCTCCCTGGAGCCTTCTCTTCTGCAGGCTGAACAACCCCAACTGTCTCAGCTGGTCCTCATAGGAGAGGTACTCCAGCCCTCTGATCATCTTCACGGCCCTCCTCTGGCCCACTTGAACAGGTCCATGTCCTTCTTATGTTGGGGGCCCCAGAGGTGGATGCAGTACTCACACCAGAGCAGACTAGAGGGGCAGAATCACCTCCCGTGACCTGCTGGCCACTCTTCTTTTGATGCAGCCCAGGGTGCAGTTGGCTTTCTGGGCAGGAAGTGCACATTGCTGGCTCATGTTGAGCTTCTCATCAACCAACACCCCCAAGTCCTTCTCCTCAGGGCTGTTTTCAATCCATTCTCTGTCCAGCCTGTATTTGTGCTTGGGGTTTCCCCAGTCCACATGCAGGAGCTTGCACTTGGCCTTGTTTAACTTCTTGTGGTTCGCATGGGCCCATCTCTCAAGCCTGTCCAGGTCCTTCTGGCTGGCATCCCTTCCCTCCAGCTTGTCAATTGTGCCACACAGCTTGGTGTCATTGGTAGACTTGGTGAAGGTACACTCAATCCCACTGTCTGTGTTGCCAACAGAGGTATTAAACGGTGCCAGTCCCAGTACCAACCCCTGAGGAATGTCGCTTGTGAGTGGTTTCCACTTGGACATCGAGCCATTGACTGCAACTCTTTGAGTGCAGCCATCCAGCCAAGTCTTTGTCCATTGAGTGGTATGTCTCTGCAGTTTAGAGACAAGGATCTTGTGTGGGACAGTGTCAGATTCTTTGCACAAGTCCAGGTAGATGATGTCGGTTGCTCTTCCATTATCTACCAATGCTGTAACGCTGTCATAGAAGGCCACCAAATTTGTTAGGCATGATTTGCTGTTAGTGAGGCCATGTTGGCTGTCGCCGATCACCACCTTATTTTCCGTGTGGATAACTAGATAGTCTCTGGTAGCTTGTACAGTAAATAGACAAGAGAGCCTACAGGAAGGCTGGGGAGAACCTGTTTAGAAAGGCCTGTAGTGACAGGACGAGGGGCAATGGCTTCAAGCTGGAGGGGAACAGATTTAGATTGGAGATTAGGAGAGGGTTCTTCACTGTGAGGGTGGTGGAGCACTGGAACAGGTTGCCCAGGGAGGTGGTTGAGGCCCCATCCCTGGAGATATTCAAGGAGAGGCTCGACGAGGCCCTGGGCAACCTGGTCTAGTTGGGGGTGTCCCTGCTGACTGTGGGGAGGTCGGACTAGATGACCCTTGGAGGTCCCTTCCGGCCTGGGAAATTCTATGATTCTATGATTCTAAGTGTGTCTTTGCAGTCTAGCCAAGTTCTCTATTTGCTATCTTTGTGTGAAAGGAAGTGATTTCTTCCAGGCTTCTGTATCTTTCCTTGCTTGATAGGTAAGTTTTCATACATCTTGCAACTCACCGCTCCTGAATTTAATTTAATGATTAATCTGTATTTTTTTTTTTTTCATATTCTTGCCCCACCCCGAGCAACCACTGTCAATTTGAGGCTTCATGTGCATCAAGTTTTGTCACCTTTCTAGTTTGTCGGTTGAAGTTGTTCAAAATACACATTATACAAAAAATGTCAGGCAGAGCATCACTGTTTTTTCATTCTGTTTAACCTCTCATCCTACTTATGTTGTAGGGTGCCATAGCACACAGAGCTGCAGATCTCTCTAGATAAGTCAGTGAATACTAGGACCCTCTTAGGTAACTCAGAATCCCTGAAATGCAGCACAACCTTTTCCTGTGTTGAATTGCTTGACTTCTACCTGTTTGAATTTAATTTGCTATTGTTTTGCTGCTTATCCAGTTGAAGTATTTCTGAAGCTTCCCAGTCCTTCCTGATTACCCTCTCATCTGAAGATGGTTTCTGCTGTGCTTCTCGTATCTCGTTACAAAATTCTGTGACCTGCTGTGAGATGAGGAGTCTCCTGAAGGCCTTTTTAAAAATACAGATTTTTTTTTTTTTTTTTCTGGTTGATTCTCTTCCATACATTACCTAATCTGCTGGCAAGTTTATGTCAGTAACGGAACTTGCCTTTGCATTTCTGTGGAATGTTTGATGGATCCCAGGTGAAAACAATTGTGAGCATAAGCATTTTGGCAGAACAATTAACTTCCAGTTAAGTGCAGCTAGTGCAAAATGAACACAGCGCAGAGGGAACATTTGCCACATACGGCCAAGCAGGTGATAAAGAGAGAAGACTTGAGCTGTTCCTGCCTCGGAGCAAACGGCCGCGGTGGGGAATTCTTTGCTGGCAAGGCTGGTTTCTTTGCCTCGCAAGGAGGGGGCAGAAGTACACCGGTGTGTTTTTCTGTTCGTTACTGATGTAAGGTGTGTTTTAAATCTTAATCTGGAATGCTAACGACGATGAGCTTCCTGCTTGTGCTCATTACTGATAGGACTGACAGGGCCAGGGTACTACAGCAAGCTTCCCATTACCCACCTACAGTGATATCTAAATAGGGCTCCATGTGATGAATTGTTGAATGTGCGATGTTTCTTTAATTTATAAAATAACATTAGGAAGCAAGATTACTTTCAATCAACCATGAGACTAGACACGTAGATTTTTGGTGTTCGTTAATTTGCCTTAGATTGAAAAAGCAGTGCAATCTGTTACTTTTCAGTATGTTATGTGGATTTAGGACAATTACACTCGAACTTTCTTGGGTTTTTTTTTGCTGTGACTACCAAATGACATTAGTCAAGGTGGAATGTGTCATTCTTTTAAAGAATCATCTTAGTAGATACTTTCCTTGTGTTCTAAGAGTTAGTAGATGACTGGTAAGTGAAGGCCCAGTTAGGTTTTCTGAACTAGAAATTTTAATATTATTAAAGAAATTATTGTTAAGTTCTCTGGGAGGATAAAGCAATTATAGAGCACAATAAGTAAATAAATATTCTTCTGCCTCAAATGATAAAATGTACTGAGATGCAGGGAAAGAGGCAGTTGTTGGTGAGGAGGATCTTCTAGGAAAATAGGGCAGATAACACCAGAACTTTCTTCTAAAGTTTATTGTATAGGCCATAGTTGAAAAGAGAATTCTTTACCTGCTGCTGAGGGTTGGAGGCTGGATCAGTGGAGACTTGACTCACTTTCTCTTTGCTTAGACTCCTGAACCTGCTTTATTTAATTTCCCTTTTGATTAATAAACTTCCTTCCCAGCTGCAAAACTTGGAAGTCTTTTTATGGTGTGGGTGCTAAGTTTAAAAACTATAGATTAATTCACGTTGCGGGGAAGTTCTGCAGCTCATCTAATTCCATGCCCTGGCCAAAGGCAGTATTAACTTTGAACTTGCATGTGTTGACTCAGGTCCTTCTACTGTTGATTTCCAAGCATCTCCAAGGCTGAAGATTTTACAGCCTCTTTGGGCAAGCTGCTCCAGGGTTTGACCACTCTTTTAGTAAAGAATTTTCCTTATCTGATCAGAACTGCAGCATCTTGGGTCCTTTGCCTCACTTCTTTTCCTGATACACTTCTGAGGACAGTCAGCCATCAGTCATCTTGTACCTTGGATACCCCAACAGAGCCCTTTGACAGTTTACTTTGGTTAACTCCATCTGAAAATAGGAATCTTTTTTCCAGGATTTGCTAGGATTGCTGCAGTCGTTGACTGATTGTATTGTGATGTCAAAACAGCAATATTATTTGAATTTTTATTTTTTCCTAGCAGCAACTGAGAGGTTACATAAATGTTATGTGGCTTAAAATATAGGTAACTTTTAAGATTACTGGTGGGGATGGCAGAAGAAAAGGAAGAAGAAGTGGCTTGAGGAGCAGGGTAGCAATTTTAAGACCTACGGCACACCTTAAAATTGATGTAGGTTTTATATTTGAAGGGATTGGGATGAGTATTTCACATAACTGCAGTGGAGTCACACTTACATGCATGTCTGCTGGGAACCCTTCTTTCTTTTGAGCCTCTTCAAGCCCTCTGCTGGATAGTTGACTGCGTGAACTCCCACAGTGCAAATTCTCTCTGCTGTAAAAAGATGAAAAGCTTAGCTATTCCTAGTAGGTGGTCAGTAACATTGCCACTATTTATTTTCCTGACTGTGAAAGATTTTTCTGGGAATTTTGTGGAAATAAGATGATTACTACCACTACCTTTTCAGCTATTTTCCAGTGAATTCATTTCTACCCAAGGAGCTTGTTTCCTGGAATATTAAGGTCTTACTAAACTTTTCTATGATTTTGATTCAGAGTGGAATGGGCACCTATGTATTCCTAGCATCCCTGAAACTTCAGATGTTTTTGTAAAGTTTGTGTAAAACCAGCAGGAGAAAATACTCCGTGCTTGTGAAAACTTGTGCAGCTTTGTCCTAAGAACAGATTGTTTCTCCTGATATTTCTCTCGAGAGGAAGCGTGTGGCTGTTTGAAAAAATAATTTTAAGAATAATAGAAAATTGTGTACAACTGTACTTCTTGCTCTCCAAATAGTTATATAGAGGTTGAGCAGGCTGGAAAGCAATAGTGTATTTGGGTCAGTTCAAACAAAATTGAGTGTCCTACAAATTAATTTGAAGTTAATTAAATGTAACAGCGTTAAATAGTAGAGTTGTATAAAAATACTTAAAGCATAACTAGAATGATAGAGGTTACAAGAAGATACTAGGAAATAATACTGTTTTTTTAGTAATTTGATGCGAGTTTGTGATGAATTTTTTCCAGCTGGCAGTTGTGAGGAATTGTTCTTTATATAATATATCTAGTGCTTGAAGAGTTTTAATGTTACTGTGTTTGATCTCTTCTAGATGTAGATGATACCTTTACTGTTTGGATTAAAAGATGTGAAGAAACACTAAACGGTAAGAAAAAACCCACTTACTTGGTAAGGGATTTGATATGCCTTGTGCTTTAAAGATGTATCATGTTTTTCAAAGATTTACAGCTTCTCTCTTACTTAGAACAAATGAAATTTGTGTTTAAAAAAAAGTCACTTTTTCCTATCTTTTGTTTCTCCCAGAGTATACATCCTGAACACTTTTATGCCTCAGATTTAAAGGAACACAAATATTGGCTTTTTAATGTAATAATTAGCTGTTACAGAGGAGTACCTATTTAAAGTTCAGACAATCATAATTAATTTTAACTCGCTTTCATATATAACTGCTAGCTAATTTTAACTGTGGAAGTATGTATCAACTTTCTATCCAAAACCAGCATCAAAATCAGTTTTTAAATCTTGCAGAACATAAAGTTGGAAATCTGGGGATTTTACTCTGCTTCCATATAGAGAGTGTCTTAGTCAGGTGCTAATTGCTGCTGCGGTGTCTTATCCATGGTAGTCAGTGAGAGTAGTTTCTTTTCATACCTTCCTACAAACTGACACCCCTGGCAATGAACTCCTCTGACATGCTTATGTTGCCTGTGGATTTTAAAGAGGTGCAACACAATAATTGATTTCATTTTTTCCTTCGCCTGTTGTGACTTCCCCCTTCTTGGTGGTGCTCACTGAATGGGGCAGTAGAAATAATAGAAGTTCATGTTAACCTCTTGACTGAAAGCCAAATAGAGGAGAAGCCATCTGTGTTACGTAGGAACGAACAAATTTATGCTTCATGATACATTTTTGCCAATTTTATTTTCATTTGGAGAAATGAGATAATTGATTGGCATGCAGGGTCTTATTTGCAAAGAGTTATCTTGGTTGACAACTTTCTTTGCCCTCTCAAGGAAAGAGGTTAGAATACACATTTTTCTCTAATGTCATCATTACTTTTTGCAGTGTTTTGTCTGGTTGTGCTGTTTCGTCTTGAATATTCATTCATTCCTTTTCTTTTTGAGCCATTATCTCAATTTTCTGATACTCCAGAAAAAAAACCTAAAATCATAGAATCATGAATACCATGTTGAAAGGGACCTCTGGTCCTCTGAAGGATCACCTGGTCCGACCTTTCTTGGCAAAAGCACGGTCCAGACAAGATAGCCCAGCACCCTGTCCAGCTGAATCCTGAAAGTGCCCAATGTTGAGGAATCCACTGCTTCCCTGGGGAGATTATTCCAATGGCTGATTGTTCTCATGGTGAAAATGTTCCTCTTGTATCTAATCGGAATCTCCCAAGGCATAACTTGTACCCGTTACCCCTCATCCTTTCCATGTGACTCCTTGTAAAAAGGAGATAAAAAGAAAGAGAGAAAAATAAGAAACCCCCAAAAAACCCAACCCCAAAGCCTCAATTTCTAAATTGCAACTTAATATTCTGTTTTATAAATATGTTGTTTTAGCAGTCCACATTGTAAAGAAGCAAAGGGAAAGTTTGGTTCTCTTCAAGCATATTTAATCTGAAATATTTTATGAAAAAATATTTAGAAGAGGAAATACTGAGCTATAGTTTAGATCCAAGTATTACAGTATTATTAAAACTGTATAAATGAATTTTTCTGCCAGGTTTCCATCTCATTCCCCAACTGTGTTGGCCTAGCATGAGATACAGATCCAACGAGAACTTTGTGCTATACTTGTGGATGGATGATAAATCTAGGACAAACCTGCTTTTTAAAAACTTTTGTTTGCTTTGATGTTACTTTCATTGCTGATAAGCATCGGGAAGTAGTGAGAAGTTTGTTCTTTCTGTTAATCAGAACATACTCTATATTACAGTTGTTTCTTTGCACAAGTTGCTGATTGAAGTCTGATTAAAAAGTAGATTGTCATAAAAGCAAAATGCTAGAGGTAGAAGTGACGCTTTTAACTCTTCTACTGTTGAGACTGGAATAAATGCAGAATGTCTGGAGTAACTGAGGAAAGCTAGAATAAGTATATGCCATGTAAGTTCAATATGTCTTTTTCTGAAAGTGCAACTCTTTTTTCTTTCTGCAGCATCACAGACAGAAATGGTAAGATGTTTTCCTGAATACGTTTGCAGTTTCAATTTCGTTGTTAAGCCAGAGCATGCTTCTTGATTTCAGTGGCTTCTTGCAACTTGCAGGCTTTAAAAATAATCTTTTCTGGTTCATGCAGTTAACTTTGCTTCTAAACACGTTCTTTTATTTGAGACCAAGGTTGGAAAATTTGAGCCTTGAAAATTCATAGGAATGCATATAAATCTGGCAATAACAGTGCACTCGTTAACATCAATTTTATCTTTCTTGCTTCTTAATTCTACAAATTAACCAGCTCATCTTGTTGATACTGACTTGCTTGTGACTGCTAGAAAGTGACTTCTGTTTCCAGTAGCTTGCAAGTGGTTTGTGCAGAATTTTTCTGCCATAACTTGTTCAGCTTTCAGTTTTCTTTTTTATTGGAAATCTTCAGAAGCAATGTTGAAATTGACCCCCTTCTTTTTTTACTTTTTTGAGGCAGAAATGGGAATTTGTATTGGATGTTCTGCTCCCTCTTTTGTAGTAATTTCCATTTTTTACATTTTAGGAATGGGGGGGGGAACTGCACAGAAGATATGGTGGATGTATGTAAAGACAAATCTTACAGTTATAAGCGTTTTATGTTTAAAAGTTATATCCTGAGTTCTCAGATCTCTTTCAGGTTTCCTTCATGGCTTTTAGATTAGCAACATAGCCAGTGTGTCTTTCTGATATATGTCTTATCCAGGAAGAAAATGAGTTAAAGCTGAACTTACTGCTATTTATAAAATGCCTGACCAATATATTCTGAATTTTAGACTGACAAGTTTAATGTAAATTTAAACTTTTTAATTCTTAATCTGGCATAAATGGCTAGGAGAACAGTGAAGAGCTTCACCTCTTAAGTTAAGGCTCATGAATAAATCAGGAAAGGGGAGCAATCAGTATGAAAATAATTTTGTGTCTTTGCAAAGTACTTCATGGTATATTTTCACTTACGCTGGTGTAACTTTCCTTCCAATGGAACGTGCTTCAACTAGAATACACAGCAGCAACCTCTGCCACCAAAGATCAAGTAAGTTGACTTTAGCTTTACTGTGGGAATTAAAATAATTGACATGTAACTTTTCTTTAGCTGGGGGATTGGAGAAGCAAGATAATTCTTTTTCTGTAGCTTGAGAACATGGCAGTCTAAGTGAAATGTTTCTTAAACAGTGTCACTGCTTCTGTTCAGAGTGAATTGTACTTTCAGGAGATTATGCCTCCCTGGTAGAGTGGGGAATGGAGTAAGTGTTCTGGCTTCTGTTTCTGATTCTCATGCCAAGCTTAATTCAAAGACTGGCCCATTGTGCCTAGCATAGGTAATGTTTTTGAGATGCTTTTAAGACACTGAACTAAAAAGTGCCATTTAATTTATAGAAGGCAAACAATATTGTGAATTGGTTAAGAAAGTGACCCAATTTTGAGATGCTTCTCGATTAAAAATGATTCTTTGTTCTTTAACTACTTATCTTGTCAATTCTGCAACTGCTTTGTTAGAGAAAGGGGAAGAAATCTAATTTTCTATGTCTTCTCTTCCCCATTAAACTACACAATGCACTTTTCCAGCTTTTGGCATTCTTCTGTACGTCTCCTTGCAGTCAGCTTTTCCTCTCTCCTTTTTTTTTTTTTTTTTTTCCTTTTCAGATATGACTGGTACCAAACAGAATCTCAAGTCATTGTGACAATAATGATCAAGAACGCGCAGAAGGATAACGTCAGTGTGCAGTTCTCAGAGAAAGAGGTGATTTGTGTTGATTATTGATATGCATCCCTAGATTCCCTAAGACTTAATAATTAAACCAGTGAACATTATCGGGCGCGATAGCATGAAAAACATTGGTAGGGGAGGTCCCTTTTTGTGTCTAGTTACGCTGTAGATGTGTGTACACCCATCAAGTGAACTGGGATCTATTGTCACAGCAGTGTCCATGGGATTTATATACATAGTGTTAGTATGGTGTCCGTGCTGCAAAGGGAACACCTGGGTTTTTGGCTGCCTGTTTGTTTGGAGGGGTGGGGGAAAAAGTGATCTGGACTTAAAATGTTTGAGTGTGCATGCATCTGGAGTAGGAATGGACAGAAGCAAGATATTCTGAAAATATGTATGAAGGAGTAATATTAGTAATATTAGGACAGTTACAGAAAAAGAATGAATATTGGTGGGTGTATTTTTTCTTGGTTTTGGCATTATTAAAATCGTTAATGGCACCAAAATATATATTTCAAGGAAGTGCAGTAGTATCTTTATTGTCTACCGTGTGCAGTACCAATGACGTTCATGTTTAATGTCGCTGAGAATGTTGGAAGAATTAAGTTCTTATTCTCAACTAAGTTGGTACTTCATGAACTACCAGAAGTAGTTTGTTTTTACTGTCTACTTTAGATGGTTAAAACTGTGTCAGAACTTGCCATGTAGTTTGTGTAGATTAGAAGGGAAGTCGCGAATTGTTTTCGTGTTCCATTATTAATGTGTTGAGACTTCATTTGCCATATAATTCTTGAGCCAAAGAATGCAGATCAATCTGACAAGATAATAGGCTTTTTGAGTGCTTGCTGGCTAAGAATTGAAATCTCCTGTTCATCTTCTAGTGTACTTTAGAAACACCTTATTCAATAATGCAGTAATGTAATGGCAGCGTCTGAAATTCTGTCACCTGATGCTTTAAGTGCCCTAGTGAAGGGTCATTAATTTAATCACTTAATCTTGGTGCCAAATGACAGTCCTTTACTTGGAAATGGAAAACTGCTCTCAAAGATGACCAGAGACATGTTTTCAACTGTTAACAGATGAATGCATCAGTGAGACTTCCATCAGGTGAAGACTACAACTTAAAGCTTGTTCTTCTCCATTCTATAGTGCCAGAGCAAAGTACATTTAAAGTGCTTTCAACAAAGGTAAGCTTCTTAAAGTGTAAATTATTTCTTTGACTGTCCCTGATGTTGAAAACGCTTCTGCTCTATTGTCTTCTCTCTCTGCAACAGTCATAATATCTTGCTTTTTGTATAGAATTACTTTTTCTTTCTTCAAGGTGCCTTTCAGCCAGTGGGAGGCTTTCTAAACTTGTGCAAATATCAGAAATAGTAATACGATGGTGCTTACTGAAGTGCAAATGACAGTTCTGTTGAGGATGCTTTTACTTGTTGCTATAGAAAGAAGACTGTGGTCTTCACTCTTGACAATTCAGGTATTGGGAAAGTATGAACACCCTTTTACTAAACTTTCAGGAGCCAATGCTGCCTTTTGAAGCATTGTTATCTTTGTGTGCCCAAGAAATAAAAGTCAGGCTTTGAGGATTTCAGTGTTGAAATAATTCTTTACGCTTTCATGACCTTTTCTTGCTGGTACAGGTTAGCCATTCAGTTAACTGTTCTTGGCTTTTCAAGAGGGTGTATTCTGTGCTGTTCCTGGAAATAGTGCTTGCTTGGAGACACTTGAAAATTGCATGGCGTTGAGAAAGCATGCTTTTGTCCAGGTGTTTTGCTTCTTCTACATTACAGGTATAGAAAAATAAGAAAGTAACTATGGTCTGGCATACCACATATTGTTGGTACAACGCATAGACAGACATATGCTTTGTCTCTGGAGCCAAACCTGAATCTCTGAAGCAGAAATGTGTTGTTGATGCTTTCCTTCTATTTCAGCACTGGTTCTGCAGAGCTTTTGGAAATTCCTTTGTGCTCTCATGTTTCGTTTTACCTGTTCCCTTCACAGAAAGGTACTTACAATAGTTCTTGCATCATTTCAGAGAAGAGGGGCTTCAAAATGACAGGAGAGAATGGCCATAGAAAGTTGGTCTCATTTTTCCCATTTTTCCACTCCTCACCCTGAGGAAGCTGGGCAGGTTGTGTGATTGGTCACGTGATCTCTTACACTATGGGAGATAAGCTGAGTGCTCAAAGTATGTAGAAGATCTTCTAATCCATTAGTATTTATATAAATTTGAGTGGAATGGGCACGGACCTTGTCAAGTAACTGTTTATGTTCCTATCTAGCTTATGTTATGCTTCTCATTTGTCTTGAAGTTTACATTAGTTTTATGAAGCACCCACATGCTACTGAGCACTGTGGAAATGAACTTGACTTTGTCTTTCTATGCTGCCATCTCACTAGTTTGGGTTAATCTCTGGAATAATCTCTGGAGCCTGGTTTAGATTGAAGTTTATAAAGTGGTGTGAAAGCTTTAGTTATGTTCAGGCAGTGTCTGAATTGTAAATATTTTGCATTTTGTTTCCAAATGTTAACAGTTGCTATATAATTGTGAAAGAACCTTTTTGAGATGAAATGCAGTAAGAGAGAACACAGAAGGTGTTCTAACAGCAGAAGTCAGTGCTTCAACATGTTCTTCCTCTTGCAGAGAAGAACAGTAAAGGGACATCTGGGGAAGCAGAGTGAAGGAATACAATTTAAATGATGCCCCAGCTAATTCTGGTTCTGACCAGCAGATGGAGTCTGGCTGAAGAAAAACATTTAAAAGCAGGTCTACATTAAGCATGCAAAGACTTCTTTAAAGGTTTAGAATATTTTACTTCGAAAAACATTAAGCGCTTTAAGGTAATAGGGCGGCCTTAGTGTTTGAATACTAGAAATTCAGATTTCTTTTCAACAGTTTTGTGTATGTATGTTATTCTTAGAGGCAGTGTGGAAAATACACAGTTATTACTTTGAAATAACATTAATAACATTAAAAGTAATAATATAATATACACAAATATTAGTATTAATAATATATTAATACATTAACATTAATAATATTAAAATATAAACTCTTATTACTTAGAACTTCTCAAACCCTTTACAAATTATTTTGTACCATTTACATGAAAACCTTTTATAAGGACTTGGAAAGAAAGATATGGTCTCATTATCTTCCTAATGGTATGAATTTTTTACTGCGCACTCATAAAGAAATTGTGTTTCCACAGCTGTGGATTAACAATTTCAGATAAGAATAACTTTGTGTGTTCACAGTGCTTTATTTTGTATTGCTCCTTTGAACGTGTGAGCCACGTTGCCATTAGCATCGTGTAGGCTTCACTGGGCAATGGAGGGTCCAGGCTTTCTTTTCCAATTATATGTGGAAAGATACGGGGAACCAGAGTCAAATATATGGGCAGGTTATATGGTGGATAGTTCAGGTTTCCCATTAATTTCATAAAAATAATAAATATAATGGATAGAGGGTGAAACAACAGAACTGGCAGATATTAGAATGATCTTGTGTGTTTTGGTAACTAAGAGAAGCCAGAGAGGGATTTCTCGATACTGGGTGAAATTCAGCATCACTTGACAAATGCAAATTCAGGAGGAGAAAATACCCTCAATGGTATTTGCAGAATTACAAATTCTAAAATAACTGCAAAGAGCAGACAGAATGTACAGATTCTGGGATTGGTTCTTTCAGGCAATGTTAACAGTAGTGAAAAGTGCAATTGATACCTTAAGAGTTGTTTCTTTCCTGGCAATGAAATAGAAATTATAGCTTTCACTAAATCCATGCTGTGGCTAGCTCTGAGATACAAAGTCTCTGGAAAAGAACGGAACTGGCAAAGGGTACAGAGGTAGCACAGTCAGAGGTAAATGTTTGGAGGTGTTTGGTTTCTATATGAGCAGAAATAAATTAGTGTTCATAATCTGCTTTTGACTTTTGACTTCGAGCTGTGAGTTAGAAAAGGTAAAACACTTGAGTTTGACTCAAGAACAGCATAATGTGTGGGTGAAGTCCAGGTTTGAAATAAAATCTTAATCTCTTTATGCATTCTGATACTGTATTTTCTCTAGCTGTCAACAGTTTTGCAGGTGATACAGACTGCCTTTAATCATGGCTGTATGTATTACTGCCATGCTTGGAGACGTTTCTTTACCTAATTCAAAATTTTTACCTCATTCAAAATCTTATATCTATATAACACTACTTGCAAATTAGGCTTTGAGTAGATTATGGTTCCTGTTCACTTTTATTCATGAGTTACTTAGAATTACCACATGTTGTTCAGCATATAATTCTCGTGATCTAAGGCCTCAATTTAATGTCCATGTGAGAAGATTCTGAATGCAACTGCATTGAGTTCTTCTCTTGAGGGAATTGCTATTTATGAATAGCATATCTTTTTTTTCTTGTACGTGAACAGCATAGCTGATAGATCATAACTGGCATAACCTTACTGGTTGTACCTCTCACGTCAAAGGTGGCTGACTGTAGTGATCTGATCTAGCAAAAAGTTAACAGCAGCTCCGAAAAGCAACATATTAATTTGAGATTTATGTCTTAAAAATGGAAGCTGATCTTGTCTTTGTATGTAGCACGACTTTGTGCACAATAGGTAGAATTTTGTGTGTTTTGATGGTCAGGTGAAGCAGGGGGAAAACTGTGCCACAATGAAAACTGTTTAACAGGAGGAAGATACCTTTTAGAGATGCTGTTTGGATTTTCTTTTTTTAAACTTCTTTCCAGAAGAGGGAGCCAAAATGTAAAGGCTGGAGTAAGTTTGCTCTTTGGAAGTTGCCTGTGTGCAGTTATCCTCTAGCTCAGGGTGTGTAATACCATCATGGTCCCTTCTTAAAAGGAAAAAAGGCATAAAAACTTGAAATGAATGACTAAATATGTTTGAAACAAAACTATCTGATCTGTCTCTGTCCAGAAAATGCAGCAGGAAACTATAAATGCACAAATAGTGCAAATAGTATAAGAATTTCTAATGTTTTAAAATGGTTCTTTGTGCACAATCAGCTTTGCTTTCTTTTCCCTCTTCTGTTCAGTCTCTCAGTGTATTTGGGATTCCAGGGGAATATTCTGCCATGATCTGTTGGAAACGTGTGGAACATGAGCAGTTCCTCTAGGTCTTCTCCTGTGTTGTAGGTGATTCTCAGAGTTTTCTTCTCCTCAGACCTAGAAGAGGAACGTGAGGACGAGTATGTGCTTTTTAGCACGTGTACTCATGAACTTGAAGGAAACTTGAGCTTTCTCTTTTTCTTCCCCTCTACTCTTGCATCTACAAATAGTCTGGGCACAATTACTGTGAGTTTTCGGTTTTCAGTGGTTTGGCTTTTTGCAGCAATTTAAGGCCATTTGAAAAAGTGGTAAAAAGTACTTTCTTTGATCTCAAATTCAAGGACGGTTCTGGGGTAAAGTTGTGTCACAGACAGGGGAGGCGTTAGAAATCCTCAGCCTCTTTTACAGAACATTTTATAGTTGACATTTGTTACTTAATAGAGATGTCTGAGGTAGAAGCACGCTCTGAGCAGCTTCATGCCAGGAATATGGTAGTGTGCATCAGTGGAGTGTTTCTTTTCCTCAGACCAACATTTCGCCTTGCAAACTCTGGGAAGAGGCAAAGAGTGAAACTGATTCACACAGTCTTGGCCTGTCCTCAGAGTCTCTATTCAGAGGCAAATGTACACAAATAGATAAACAGAGGAACACATTTATTTTAGCTGAAGTTGGTTCTTACGGTTGCAATCTGATCCTTCAAAGATGCTTTCTCATTTAGGATATTTTCATTAAATTGCTCGCAGACACTTGAATGCAGACTTCCCTGCTCTCACGTACTTGTTTTCTCTGTGATGCTTTCATCCAGATTCATATCTCCTGTATATGTTCTGGAGTGTTTTCTGTAAATTATAAACTGATATTTAAGATATGAGTTGGATAATTTTTCTGAAATTTCTTGTGTCTCTTAGGCAGGGCTAGTTGGAGCAATTTCCTGGCTAGACTGTAAAGAAACTTCCCCAATGATTGGCATGATATTTACCTGGCTCAAAATAAGTTTGGTTGGGTTTTTTTCCTCTTTTTTTTTAATGAATGTAGATGGGTGTGGGGCATATTTAAACTTGTAAATATTCTGAGAACTATATTTTAAACAAGCATAGAAGTCAGTGCCCGTGCATTATATAAATACATAAAGGAAATCTCTGCATTAGGGGTTTTTCCTGTCTTAAGAGAAGACAGATTTAAGAACAATTGCAATAGCAATGGTTTGCAGTGAGGATGGGCATTAGGATACCAAAGTGATCTGTATTGCTAGCTCATTCTCTGAAATTCAAAATTTTAACAAGTGGTTGCTGTGTAATATCAGGGAGAAGGAAAGTTTGACCTCTTTGCACTCGATTCTCCACAGAACATTGCTGACAAAGAAGCTGAAAGGTGCACATTAAATCCCTTCTGTTGCAATATATTCGCTACTGAATAAACTTCTTAATGTTCATTTATTTGTGATAACACTGTAGAGTTATTTTAGTCTCGGTATATTTTGTTTAAAGTTATGGACTGAAGACCTTGGAATTCAGAATATAAGCAATGTATGAAAGGTCTTTGAATAACTAGAATCCCAAAACTGTATGTGCATATGATCTTCGAGGTAAGTTTGAATAGGTCATACATTTTTAGAAGATAGTGCTATTTTGTCTTACTCTTAAATTTAAATTACAAAATACATGAGATGATTGCAAAATTGCAACTCTAAGCACTTAAAATTTACAGCTCGGACAAAGAACTCAGTAGTTCAGTGAATAACCAAGTAGTTGACTAGAAATCCTGAATTCTCATTTTCATGTCTTTGATATAGCAAAACATTGCAATTTAAAAGGGTATTTTTTGATGCATCTTAAAATTAATGGCTGAACTACTGCTTAAGCTTTGCCAGTTCTGATTTCCTTCATCCATCTGATTGGAGCTTGACACAAATTTGCCAGTGTTAAGTGAACTTTCCCTTAGTGTGGACTGTGAAATATAAAGCACGGTAGAAATTAGGAAAAAAAATGATGAAACTTGTCAGTGTGTACCAGAATCTTCTTTTAGGGAGGAAGATAAAAATTCTTTCCCTTGTTTAATGTTCTCAGTTAAACTGGCAATGTCTGTCCTGGAATGTAAGTTCAAATTAAATGTAGTTCATCAAAGATTTAGACTTTTTAACAGTAGACTTCTACCTAGAAAATGAATGTTGGCTAACTAGCATTGTATTTATCTGTAGCTAAGGGGAGAAGTTCTTTCTTAAAACTAGATTAAATGCTCCTTTATGCCAGTTATCTTAAGGTAAGGGGGTTTTGTGTTCTTGTACTACCGATGAAATAGTTCAGAATAGCTTCTGAGCATAACACTGTGGCATCTTGTCTGATAACTAGCACTTGGATTAAACTGCAAACAAACTTGAGTAAATCTCTGATGGATTTTAAACAATCGGTTACTTCTATGACTAGAAAATTCTGTGACTAGAAACTTCTCTCTATCCTCTCACTGTGGATGGAATTTCTTCTAGATGATGAATCCCCCATTTGACCCTCTTCTTAGAGGAGTGGGTTTCTCCTAAGATGGTATTTCAAATGAATTCTGCGTGAATTATTCTGTCAAAATTCCATGTTTCTTTTCCTTTTTTGCTTTGCTTACTTTGAGTCCAGGAACTTAAAAATTACAACAGAAGGTGGATTATTTCTGCGTTGGAAGTTTTCATACATCTGGAGTACTTGTGTCCTGTTTGGGGCTTCCTGGTGCAAGAAGGGCACTAACATGGGCAAGTCCTCACAGAGGGCTACCAAGGTGGTCAGGTGGCTGCAAGATATGAGCTACAAGGAGAGGCTGAGGAATTAAGCTTGTCCTTAAGTGGCATGCCAAGCATTTAATTTGCGATGAAATTTTCCTGTCTTTTATTCTGAAGTTGGTGTGAGGCACACAGGCATACATTTTATGAAATATAAATGTTAAATCAAAGTAGTTGGCGAAGTGTTGATGTATTCCTCTTGCCTGAGTACTGAATTTTTTTTTTCAAAGGAGAGGAAAAAGCTAACATATCTAACTAATGTGTTAGATATGACACAAATGTCCATGCTGATGTGTCACTTGTCTGTGTGATAGCTATCACTATCTGCTTTAAAATGTTCATTAAAATGCATTTATTGCCATTTGCGCACGTAATTGGGACTCACAAACTTGTTTCTCCTCAGATCAAATAAAGCTCTCAAGTTGAAGAAATATGTGCCTTCACAAGCAGAATTTTATAGCTTTATATTTTTGGAAAATGTGGTTGTATAATGGTATACTGCTAATGATTTCCCTAGTTTTGCTCCTGCCTGCCACTTTGCCTAATGAGTAGCTTCAATTGAAGTGGATGGAGTAGATGGGGAGAGGTTTAATCATGTCATAAATACATTCTGTCTCAATTCTTCAGCTGTCTATACTTCTAGCTTGGCAGGGTTGAAATGGTTGAGATTTAAGAAATCTGCATCTTGTACTGGGAATTAGTTTGTAGCGTTTCCTTTTCCTTAGGGATGTTTGTCATCTAGTACCAGCTTAGGGACAGTTTGAGAGAGGAAAATGTAAGAACTAGCAGATTAAAAAAGGAGAGGGGGATTACTGGAGCAGCAAAAATAAAGATCTTCCTTTTTTTTCCTTCTTTTGATGCGTGGGCAGAGTACTCTGATGAACAGCCAAAGGTTCTTTATAAAGGTTCTTTGAGGAGGGTTGTGTTCTGAGAAGAAAAAAGTCCATGTTTAGTAGCTCACATCAAGCAATGTGTTGCACTAGAGGTCATTCTTGGGGTGGATGAAATAGTCTGTATTTGAGATATTCAAAGATACTGGTGGAAAGCCTGAAGTGTTAAGGGTAAGAGGAGATAGTGAAGGAAGAAACAAACAGAAGAGAAATTGAAGTATGGGGTTGAGCAGTCTCAGTATCAAACATTTACTCTCTCTTTTTTTTTTTTTAATAGATCATATAGGGGAATATACTAATAAGCAGAGTATAAAATCTTAAAATTAGGGCTGCCTCAACTTAAATGTGCAACTGAATTGATAATACAGTTTCCTTAGATTGAGACGAGTTTTATAGGAAGAAGAGGAGAGACAAGTTGTTTTAAATTAATACTCAGGTTTCACTTACAACTAATTAGTGCCTTTGCAAATGGCTAATTTACTTCAATGTTGACTCAGGAGATCCAAATCCATTAGAAAAAAAAAAAAACAAACCACAACCCAGCCCTGATAGTTCTGGCACACGTGGAACTATGTGTTTGTCTTATATGTAGATACACAAATATTTTAACTTCCTTAAGGTAATTGCAGAGCATTAGATTTATGTGTGTAGGTGTTCAAAAATGAGGTTGTAATTTCCAATCAGAAGAGTCCAGTGAAGGAACCTTTGCTGGCTTCTTTAGTTCTACTGAAGCCTAATCACTGGCACAGTTTGAATGCTTCATTTGCATAGGTTCAGCAGAAATCTCTGCATCCTTACAGATTGCAATATTAAACCCTGGAATACAGGCCTCCTTTAGGGACAGTAGGTTGAGCAACTAGAGTAAGACCGTGTTTTATTTGGTTATTTTTGGTTCTGTGACTTGCAGTATTTTAAAATCTGATACCCTGATGCTTAATTTGTTACTTGTAAAAAGACTGGAAATCCAACAGACGCGGGGAGTGGGAAGTCAGATACGTGTGGGGGCTGGGCGTAGAGACTTACTGAAACTCTCCCCTGCCTTGAAGGGCATTCCAGGCCTCATTTCTTACACTTTTTGTTGTTATCAGTTAGCACAAGTTAGTGGTGGAAAATAAGTATTTAAACTTGTCTAGGGAAATGTAGCTTCCCCAGGGGGAAAAAAAAAAAAAAGTACAAAAAGAAGCAATCACCATTGAATATTCCGATTCTTAAAATGCAGCACGATGGCAAACATGGAAGCTTTGAAAGTGAGATGAGCTCATTTCTTTATTTTTGTAAGGTATCTCAGCCTGTTGCTTACCAGTGACTGATGTGAAGAATGAATTAAATAAAGTTCAGATTTCGGATCAACATGATGCCGTGCAAGGAGCGTGCTGTGAGGATCCCCGGGGTTGGCTTTCACAGTGGTGCCTTTGTTCTTGGGTCTGCAGGGATCCCCAGGTTATAGTGGCTTGAGGTAGAAGGAAGAACTTGCTTCTGCTGAGCTGTTCACAAATAAGGAACTGCTGAAGTTTAGCGAGCACCGATTTCAGTTAATTAATAGCATCATACGGACTTTGTGACATTTTCTTAAGTGAATTTGTTGTTTGCAGTGACATTAGACAGTCCTTGTTTTGCAGACATTGTTTTGCAACTTTGTAGCCCTGTAACCAAAGGATAAGGTTAATTACGAAAAAACATTTCAATGTGGTTGTCTAAGGGGATTATGTGTAGCTGTGAATAGGGCATGACATACTTCACTTAATTTTGTTTCTCCTATGATAATTGCAACCATATCCATTTTTAATTGCCAGTTTTGTCAATGAATACTAGACAGTTTTCTCCGTAGCAGTGTGTGTTCATTGAACCAAATGAGTACAGCTTCTGAATTTCTCCAGTGGGAAGAGCTGCATAGTCCCAGGATGTTTCTCTGGTTTATGTACTGCACATAAAATAAGAATTTTTTTGGTGGATGAAATGTAAACCTAGATAAAGTTGGATTTTGTGGTCCTTCGAAAGAACTATTTAATTATTAGAGCTGACTGGCAAGAAAGGGGTGCTTGAAAGATAATACCTTGGTGCCTGGCAGCGTAGAGATGTTGGGGCCAATCGTTAACTTTTGGGATACCATAATTTACAAAAAGAACCAAGTGAATACTAAGCAAAAGCAAATAAGTGGTACTAAACAAAAGAGTAAAAGTCTGCTACGAGAGCTCTGCAGCCACACAAGAGCTTAGTTGACCTGTGACTTGAAGTCACGTAACTTCATCTTGTGAAGTAGGTAAATTTTGTAAAAATGCAGGCTTCATATTCGAGTCTGTGTTTCTGAAAGAAAATTGATTTTCCTATTGCTACAGGATCCAACTCATTCAAGCCTGTTTGGCAGAACTCTTTGCCATCTGGATTAATTTCTTCTGTGTCTTGTGTTTTACAGATTGAGATAAAGATGAAGAAGCCAGAGGCTGTAAGATGGGAGAAGCTGGAGGGGCAGGGAGATTCTCCTAAGTTAAAGCAATTTACACCAGGTTTGTTCTCTGAACTATTAAGTATTAAATAGCTTATTTGTATTAAATTACTTGCAGTTATTAATGATATTTTTTGTGTTAATTACTGTTAGTAAAATCACAGCTTCATGTTTACAATGAAAAGCTTAACAGTCTTGTTTTTACTGCCAAGAATTGACAGGAAAAGTCTGCAGGGCATTACTAAAACTTAGGTATTAAATTTAGTCATAACTTCCATTAATCTGATGGATTGTTAAGGATGTACACTCATCATTAATTCCTCTGGGCTTATCTCTTTGGCTGTGTTGGTCACCGTTTTGCAGTTCTGTGCATTGTTACGCCTCTATTGTTGCTTAATAATTAATTACTATTTACTTCAGTATTTCATCTCTCTTGAAAAGTAATACTTTTGCAGTTTTTCAAGACAGATTAGCAGTTTATCCTTGAGAGAATTTGAACTTCCTGTTTTATTGATTTCAGATATCTTTTCAAATTTAAAATTTAGCTCAAAATTTAGCTCTAGGCTGCTCGCTGCCTTTTTTTTTTTTTATTATTACTGTCAGTCAATATCATCTTCCTTGTTTTGACTTTAATTATTTGTGTTGCTATTATGCAGCACTATGTTGGATAACTAAATTATGTAACTCTTTACTTAAATGTAAACTTTTGCAGCTGCTGAATGTCATCTCTGGCATTTTTTAGTTGCCTGTGTTTTTGTTACTGCGATGTTTATATCAATAAGGAAGAATCTATTTGCATTTCCAGATTCACATTCTGTTATTGTATGTGATTCATCATATACATATATATGTGTGTGTGTTCTTGGCTGCTCTGAAAGTCATGAGAAAATACTTAGGTAACTACCACTTCTGTTTTCAGATACCCAGCACTTATATCCATCATCCTCTCACTATACGAGGAACTGGGACAAACTGGTAGTTGAAATCAAAGAAGAGGAGAAGAATGAGAAGTTAGAAGGAGATGCTGCTTTAAATAAACTCTTCCAGCAAATTTATTCAGATGGTACAGATGAAGTGAAACGTGCCATGAACAAATCGTTTGTAAGTCTTCATTCTTTTTCTCTGAAGAAACGTGTAACTGCACGCTGAAACAATTTACTGAGCTTTTGCATGAACCAGGGAGCCTCTGGCTACCAAAACCTTGGGCCTATAATGAATGGCAGTGATTCTGTCAGAGGTATTGGTATAACGAGTCTCGCTGAAAGCTACGATGTTGTACGCTAACGAATGTGACTCTTTAAGTCCCAGGTTTGTGCCTCGGTGAAGCTCATGCTTTGTCAATGGTCTCTTTGTTTCAGTCAGTGTTATCAGAGGAAATACAGTTTTTGGCTCATCCAAAGCTTGAAGAGTTGCCCTGAGTGAAAGGATCAAATTCCTTTTAATTGTTTCTGTCTGGTTCCTTTTATTTGTAGTTCTTAAATGCAAGAACCTGACTGACTTTTTAAAAGCTTCTAGTCGATGAAGTAACGTATCGTTCTGTCCAGTACTGATAAAAGTGTTGTTGGGCTGAAGATTATTGAATGATGGCTTAGTCAGATTTTAGTCTATATATACACAGAATCTGTGTAACCTGCTTCTACGTGAAGCTAAATTCTTCGCTTTTCTTCAGAATTTCTTAATCTGCTATAAGAAATGTGGCTTTTATCTTGCTAGAATTCTTCTAGCAAACTAAACAAGCTTTCTCTTGTATTGCAGATGGAGTCTGGAGGCACAGTTCTGAGCACCAACTGGTCTGATGTTGGTAAAAGGAAGGTTGAAGTAAATCCTCCTGATGACATGGAATGGAAAAAATTCTAATCCTGTTTTTAATCTTTTACCATCTCTGTGTTGCCATAGTCATGTACTGACCACTGTGTGTGGACATAGCGTTCTTGGATTCAAAGCACTGAATGTTCCCTTGGAAACAGGAATTGTCTTTGCATTTTGCGTGCTTTAGGAATTCCTTCATCTGCAGATGTTAAAGATATACTCAAGAGTTGGAACCCTGTTTTCATCATCTCTGTCTAATTTTTGGAAATTGAGTCAATCACAGTCTAAATTTTCTACCGCCTTTATCAGCTCTGCTCTCTGGGGATGGGATGATCTCTCATGGGCTGGTCAGGATTTATTGCCTTACGCCCAATATTTCTGTTCAATAACTTATTAGATCTTGGCAACTTTGGGTAAAAACACTTTTCAACAACAGTGTTAAAATTGTTTGCTCTTTAACTCTGCTAAATAAAAGTGTAAATATAACTTTTTCTATACAGAATCCGCTATCTCAGTTGCTGAAGAACTGAGAAATGTAAGAAATAGTCTCTGAGCTTGGATACAAGTCTGTAGAGCCCATAGATGCTCAAAAGCCATCTGGAAATGGTCCTGGACACCTGGTTTTAGGTGGCCCAGCTTGAGCAGGGAGGGTTGGACAAGATGACTTCCAGAGGTCCTTTCCAACCCTCAACCATTCTGTGATTCTGTGAAGGGAATATGAACTTAGAAAGTTGTGGTAAACACGCCTGGTCCACACGCCGCTGTCTCTTGGGAGTTCAGAGAGATCCATGAATATCCTGTGACTTCTAGAAAACCCTGTGAATGGCAAGTGTTGGCAGCCCCCTGAAAGCCACTTCTTGCCTTGCTTAACCATTGGATGCTGCTTTGACACGCTGAAACAATTTACTGAGCTTTTGCATGAACCAGGGAGCCTCTGGCTACCAAAACCTTGGGCCTATAATGAATGGCGCTTCATTTCATTTTTGGTAATCTTGTTTTTCAAGGAGGGAATCACTTTTCGATGGGGGATCACACATGTAGGTAAGGATGTGGATACACTACTTTAAAAAAAAAAAAAAGCAAGTGGCAGGTGTAGGAGCAAAACTTGCATTCAGTGAAGAGGATGAGATTTCTACTCTTGTGGCAGACACAAAATTTCTACTTACGGAATCCTTCCACCTGGGTGATAGGTTGAACTGCGCTCACACGTGATCGAAGGGAGAAAGTCAGTTGTGGCTGGAAATTTCTACAGAGAAGTGGGTCCTCTGCCTGTCTTCTATACTCAAAAAAGGAGGGATTTATTGCAATTGCGTGACATCAAAGATAGCAAGCAGTTGCTTTAAGTTCTGTTATTTCAGAATATTGGAAACTGTTTACATCTTTTAGAAAAGCGCCCATGTCTCCTTGTTTCCTTCAGTTCAGCTTTTCCATCATGATGAAATTTTAAGTAACAGTAGAAGAAATGTAAGAAATAGTCTCTGAGCTTGGATACAAGTCTGTAGAGCCCATAGATGCTCAAAAGCCATCTGGAAATGGTCCTGGACACCTGGTTTTAGGTGGCCCAGCTTGAGCAGGGAGGGTTGGACAAGATGACTTCCAGAGGTCCTTTCCAACCCTCAACCATTCTGTGATTCTGTGAAGGGAATATGAACTTAGAAAGTTGTGGTAAACACGCCTGGTCCACACGCCGCTGTCTCTTGGGAGTTCAGAGAGATCCATGAATATCCTGTGACTTCTAGAAAACCCTGTGAATGGCAAGTGTTGGCAGCCCCCTGAAAGCCACTTCTTGCCTTGCTTAACCATTGGATGCTGCTTTGAGTTTGCTACTTCTCCTTGCCTCCCTAGCTACCTAGGCTTTTCCAGATTGTTTGTTCTGTCTGTTTTCTTTGTATTTGGTTTGTTATTTTACTACAGGGAAAATGTGATTAGCTTGATAAAATATAAAGGCTATTAGAACAGGTGTTTTAATAGGACAAGTGAAGTCTGCAGCTGTTACAGTAATAAATGTATGTGAAAGATGATTGAAAACTGAGGAGGAGGAGGAAAGGATGTATCCTGTTCCTCCTGAGAACTAGGAGTCTTAAGTTTTGGAGTGATGTTTGGGGAAGTGCAGTGGGTTTTTTTCTCCTAGTATTGTTACTATGCCTCTGCAGTATATAGAATCATAGAATTGCCCAGGCCGGAAGGGACCTCCAAAGGTCATCTAGTCCGACCCCCCCACAGTCAGCAGGGACACCCCCAACTAGACCAGGTTGCCCAGGGCCTCGTCGAGCCTCTCCTTGAATATCTCCAGGGATGGGGCCTCAACCACCTCCCTGGGCAACCTGTTCCAGTGCTCCACCACCCTCACAGTGAAGAACTTTCTCCTAATCTCCAGTCTAAATCTGTTCCCCTCCAGCTTGAAGCCATTTCCCCTCGTCCTGTCACTACAGGCCTTTCTAAACGGGCTCTCCCCAGCCTTCCTGTAGGCTCCCTTCAGGTACTGGAAGGCTGCTATTAGGTCTCCCCGGAGCCTCCTCTTCTGCAGGCTGAACAACCCCAGCTCCCTCAGCCTGTCCTCGTAGCAGAGGTGCTCCATCCCCCTGATCATCCTTGTGGTCCTCCTCTGGACCCTCTCCATCGGGTCCATGTCCTTCTTATATTGAGGGCTCCAGACCTGCACACAATACTCCAGGTGAGGTCTCACCAGAGCAAAGTGGCAGAATCACCTCTCTGGACCTGCTGGCAACACTTCTATTGATGCAGCCCAGGATGCGATTGGCCTTCTGGGCTGCAGCTGCACACTGCCTGCTCATGTCCAGCTTCTCATCCACGATAGGAATATCCACGATAGATAGGAAGACCTTAAGATCTCACAGATGTTAAAAAGAGAGCTTGTTCTGGGATATATGTCATATCTGCAAACTACAGAATGTCATACTTGGCAGCTGCAGACTATGAGTACAGTCCTGACACGGCGGGAGGGAGATGGGTTGGATTTAGGAAGGTTTTTGTGTGCCTTTACCTCTTCGCTCCTACTGAGCAACGTCTGCTTCTTGGAAGGGTTTCTCCAAGGGAAGAAGTACTTGGGGCATATTTCAGTGGAGGTTTGTTAGCTTCAGTGGGGAATTTCTTGCCCTTTGGAGAATTCCGAGTCGCTGGTTGCTCAGTGTCTAGAGCCCTTGCCATCCCTATGGGATGCTAACATTGAAGCTGACTTCATTTGGAACAGGGACTGGCACTCGATTCTCCTGGATAAGTGCTTTGCTGCTTTTTATTTATGCTCTGAAAGGCATTTCTTCCTTTCTAATGTAGAGAGAAGACAAATGTCTGAGTGCTTCACTTTGTCACAAAATTGGGTTCTTGTCTGGCGGCCAGCCCTGCTTTAGAAATGTCACTCAGAGCACTTAGCAGCTCTTACCAAAGACTTGCTATGGGAAAAGTCTGGATAAAAATCTCTTAAATAGAAATGAAAAAGTAATTTGAGGATGTTTTCTGCCAGTCAGGTTGTTCTTACTTACTGAAGAGAAGGCAGTAGGGGTTCCTCTGGCTACTTTCACTTGCAGAAGGACCATGGGACTATGTCGTCAGATAAGCACAGTGTGTTCTTGCATTAAGTGGGGACTGTTTCACTGCTTCAGGACTCCATTCACTTGGCTTAAGGCAAAGAGTAAAATGAAATGCATTGCTGCTTATGGACTCCTGAGGGATGTGTAATGCAAATGTAATGCTTTAGCTTCGGGCTAAAACTTGTAGCAATCAAGTGGTGGACCTCCCTGTCCATCTCTATCCTGCGAGCCAAGTTGGCGGGTCTAAACGTAATTCCAGGGTGTTTCTGAGCACTGAGATAATCTATGCACGTTCCACCTTAGAACTTAGGTGGACTGGTAATGGGCAGCCCTTGTTGTCTTATGGGGGGAGGAATTGAGGGGGAGGTTGGGGAAAAGGTTGTTTTTTGTTTTTTTTTTCTGGTGGGAAGGGATTGGATTAAAGCAGCAGGCAAAATTTCCCTGTAAAGTTGGTGTGAAGGTGCTTCATGAACTTTGTGAGCAGTGTATGTTTTGTTCTTGGCAAAACACAGGCATGGAATGGTTCCAGAAGCTGTAGGTCAAGAAGAAGCTAGCAGGGAGCTTGGAGGTTGAACAGAGGCTGTGAAGGCACAAACTTGAGTATAAGAAGTTCCACCTAAACATGAGGAGGAACTTCTTTACTGTGAGAGTGGTAGAGCACTGGAACAGGCTGCCCAGAGAGGTGGTGGAGTCTCCTTCTCTGGAGACATTCAAAACCCACCTGGACAAGATCCTGTGCAACCTGCTCTAGGTAGACCCACTCTGGTGGGGGGGTTGGACTTGATGATCTCCAGAGGTCCCTTCCAACCCCATGTGATTCTATGAAGCCTATGGGTGACAAAGGAAATTTCCTTTGGGACTAGAGAGGGTGAGTGGAATTTGTGGCAGGACTGGCAATGAGTTGGCTGGAGGCAGAGGACAGGGGATGATGTTTTAATTGTGTTAAAACATTTCTTGAGAGTTGATTTTGGGGTGTTTTTTTTTCCCTAAGCCACCTGGTCGTCTGTAGGTAGAACTGCCTACAAGACCCAGACAATTTTCACCTCAGTGCTCTGATTTGTAGACTTGGTGCGGATATGGGAATGGGACAGCAAGAGGGAATAGTAGCTTTCCCATTTAATATCCCAGATGGGATTACTCTCTGCTACTGTTTTGGGGGTCGTAGAAGCTGCCTGTCTGCTGTAGCTTTGGGCTGCCTCGCTCTTCTTCAGTGTACGTGCAGCGTTTGTAAAAGATCAGTTGAGCCTCTCAGAAGCAGGAGATGGTGGTGCTGCTGGTTCACTCTGATTTTTGCCCTTTCTGAGCAGAGATTCTGTTCCACCCCGATGTGCCAATCAACAATCTGTTCTTTGCCAACTGTAGTTTTATGCTTCTCTACATCTTTTTTTTTTTTTTTTTCCTTTTTTTTTTTTTTCCCCCACTGCGTGGAACAAGCGATCAGTCTGTTCTCCACTGAAGCTTACTTGGAATTTATTCGTACTGCAGCAGGGGTGAAGTGTTACATGGAAGGCAGGAGACAGATCTCCCCACCTTCCATGCCCCCCAGCTGCATCTTACTTTCTCAAGTGTAGATAAAAGTGGAGGATGATTCCCATATCAAAAAGGACAAAAGAGAGAGAGTGGGGTTCACTCCGTGTTGGGAGGTGGAGAGAAAGGGGGCTGGAGATGCAGAAGAGAGACTCCTCCTGCCTTCCCATCACTGGCTTCCAGGCTTTCTAACCCTATGGCTTTGTGGGCTGTTTTCCTTCTCTCTTCCAGCAGCCTGTATTTATCTCCTTTTTCTGCTTTCATCTGCTCTGCCGCCCTAATCCTCCTAGTAAGCAATCACATGGGTAATTAAGTTTAAGGACAATAGTAGAATTATGGTGCTCTAACATCCACCCACCTGTGGTTGGGACACACTGTTGGTGACAAGCCCATCCCTCTTTCTTCCCTCCTCTCCTAAATTGTGACCAAAGGAAGGTTTTGAACCGATTTTTGCTAGCGCGGGGTTGGATTTGTCAGAGAATGGTTTGGGTTGGAAGGGACCTTAAAGATCATCTAGTTCCAACCCTCCTGCCATGGGCAGGGACACCTCCCACTAGAGCAGGTTGCTCAAATAGCCATCCAGCCTGGCCTTGAACACCTCCAGTGATGGGGCATCCACTTTGGGGAACATCCCTTCTCCCCACCTGCCCAAATGCAGAGATGTTGTCACCTCTTTAGCGTGCAAGGTACCGTAGTGGTGGTGGTGGTGGAACACTTGTCTTTAAGGTTGGTAGTAGACGCCCTACGGGGGTGAGTGGGGTGGCTGTGGAGAGCTAGAACTGTCAGCTGAGCCACCACTCCGGGGAATATCGCCACGTCTTTCCGTACCGTTGGATCGTTGGGTTTATATTATCATTCCTGTGTCGCCTCAGAACGTTTCCTTCAAAATGAGATGTTGTGCTTAAATAAGATTTTTCAACCTTGCTGCAGCAAGAGATTTTTTTTTCTTCTTCTTTGAAGGCAATATGTAGGTAAATGGAAATTTGCTTACTCGAAGCGTGAGTTGAGGGAAGGCATTTTGTTGCATTTCCTTTGGGAATGGATAAGTTTTGTGCCCTCTGTGTTGTACTTCGGACAATATTGTAGTTCTGGCAATTCTACTAGTCACAGACCGTGTCAGTCGTGTGTCTGCTTCTCTGTGATCACCAGGGCTTTCTGGGCAGGAGAATTCTCAAGATGTACCTGCTCTATTGTGACCATTTAACGCATCCACCAGTAGGATGCTTTTTTTTTTACTTACGTGCTTTGTGACTGCCTATAGAAAAAAAACAACACAACTGATACAAGCTTTTATTTAGGAAAGGTAAATTTGGTTAAGAACGTGTAGACATGGAAACCACCTCCACGATTGTGTTTTTAGCATCTTCTGAAGACTTTGGGTGTTTTTTTACGGGGGGGGATGCGGGGAGAAGCAAATCATGGGTTGCTTCTGGATGGCCTTAGATGCAAAAGACAGCAAGAGTTGGGTTCATGTTTACATTGTATACATGCAGTCACGTTTCCTTCTCTTTGCTTTCCGTGTTTCACTTCTTGACCCCCCTGTTTCCCTCTCCAGCCAGTTCTGGAACACGTAGGGAAAGGTCCCATTACACTTTCTACGTGGAAAAAAGCACAGAAGGCGACTGCTGTTTTTTCATGTGTTTGTTTAATCTGCAATAAAAAAAAACCCCACAAACCAAAACAAAAGGAAACCCAACTTTTCTAAGCATACAAATGGTGTACTTCTACAACAACAACGTAATCATCAAGGTCATTTTCATTTCAAAAAGCAGAAACTCAAATTTAACAGGCCTTGAAATCCCACTTTAAGAAGTTTTTAATTTAAATATTTCAAAGCAAGTCTGTTCTTCAGATTAAGGGAAGGTGAAGCTTATATTCAGAAAAACACTACAATAGAGCAAAATACTGAATTCTATTCTCATCTTACTCTCATTTAACACTTTGCTTTTTAGATACGCAGTTTAGCATTCCACATGAGGTTGTCTTTATTTTCTTTAAGCCACGATTATGTCAAATTAATTCCTCTTTTCTGTGTGTCACGCGGTGTTAATAACATTAGGAGGCTTGCAACATCTCAAGAGGTGTTTAGTCACAAAAATGAATGCCTAAGAAAAATGGGACCATTCTGCATTTAAAGCCCATGTAGATGGCTCCATAAACTCCCTGGTGGAGTTCAAGATGTATCGTGTGGATGAAGGCAGCGCGATACTCTGGTCTTGGTTTTTCAAGGCTAGAAATCCTAAGCCATTCCGTTTTTGTGTTTCAGCTTAGTACCTTCCTTAGAGATTTAATACGCAATAGGATCAATCCCAGTAATTACAGAGTTTTGCAAGTAAGCAAAAAAGGGTGAGGTTATAAACCTATTTCTATCTTTTTTTTTCCCCCCCTTTTTCTGTTTTTTTCCCTCCTCACTGGTAAGCAGTTTCTCTTTGCAGGGAAGGGAGGTTGGCTTCAGGGAAGCTCGCGGAGCTGGAATGGGTGGCTGCTATCCTCGTGGAATAAAGAGGGGTTGTAATCTCGTGTCAAAAGTGTCTACTTCAAGGATTTATAAACATGGCGGCTGTTGCAGATTCTGAAGGGTCTCGAGACTCTTTGGTCTGCGACTGCCTGTAACTACTTTTTGCTGTAGTGGCTGGGTAGCAGATAGTTGTTAGACACTGTGGCGGTGTCGTGGATACAGGGTTCTTGGTGCTGGGGTTTTTTTGATGCTGGGATGTGCGAAGGGTTTTGATTCTGCAGCCGCGCACATCCCCCTCCCGCAGCCCCCTCCCTTCTCCTGCCAGTTGTTTCCGATTGAGCACGACACGTGCTTTCCCCTGGCCCCTGGAGCAGCTTTGTGGGAAAGGGATGCTCTAATTGGTTTAGAACCATCCATAATGACCTGGCAACTCGGTATGAACAGCGACGGGGAGCAACCTAACTTGTGATTTATTTAAGTAAGCTGCATGGATGAAAGGTACTCCCCAGCCTACCAGTTGAGCTAGTCGCCTAATTGGACGTAATTTTCACATCTAGCTTGGAAAGAGGGGAGTTGGTTGTGAAAGGCTGAGGTTGGCTTTACGAGCAAGCTTCTGGAGACTGCTAAAGCACTGGAACAGGTTGCTCAGGGAGGTGGTTGAGGCCCCATCCCTGGAGATATTCAAGGTGAGGCTCGATGAGGCCCTGGGCAACCTGGTCTAGTTGGGGGTGTCCCTGCTGACTGCGGGGAGGTCGGACTAGATGACCTTTGGAGGTCCCTTCCGGCCTGGGCAATTCTATGATTCTATGATTCTATAAACCAGTTTGTGAGCAAAGTTTTCATATTGTCTTTTTGGGGGGGATGTCTTAGGTTTCGAATTCACTAAGTGCTAGTACACCCTTGTCACTTGTAAAACTAATGGAACGTTAACTTAAAATTTTTATTTTCAGTGAGAACACCTGACTTGGCTTTTGGTGCAGTAACACACACTCTGGATTTTTTGTTTTGTTTTTTTTTTTAAAGCCAGGATTGGTACTGCTGCTTTGGCTGTAGCCTGTTACCAGTTTGTGGTCGTTGCGTTTCCCCCCCTTGTTTTGTCAGGGATCCGGGATGCTTTTTTCCCCCCCCTCAGACGACACCCATGATGCGAGCGACCCACCAGCTGCAGGGCATGATGATGCGGCAGGCGGTGCGACAGCCCTGGTAGTTGTAGGGCCATGGGTGGTAGCCCATGAGGGGCTCGCAGATCCTCTGGCACTGCGTGTAACTCCGCCGGCATTCGATGCAGCACACGCCCAGGTGGTCCAGCATGGGGTCAAAAGCCATCCCTTCGCCTTCCAGCTGCTGAAATGTAGAATAGTAAATGTCGTTATGAGTGGTGTCCCCCAGGGCTTGGTATTGGGGCCGGTTCTCTTTAACATCTTTATCAATGATCTGACAGGCTGAGGGAGCTGGGATTGTTCAGCCTGGAGAAGAAGCAGCTCCGGGGAGACCTTATAGCGGCCTTTCAATACCTGAAGGGTGCCTATAGAAGAGCTGGGGAGGGACTCTTTGCCAGGAAGGGTAATGATAGGACAAGGGGAAATGGTTTTAAACTGGAAGAAAAAAGATTCAGATTAGATCTCAGGAAGAAATTCTTTACTGTGAGGGTGGTGAGACACTGGAACAGGTTGCCCAGGGAAGTTGTGGATGCCCCATCCCTGGAAGTGTTCAAGGCCAGGCTGGATGTGGCCTTGAGCAACCTGGTCTAGTGGGAGGTGTCCCTGCCCATGGCAGGGGGGTTGGAACTAGATGATCTTTAAGGTCCCTTCCAACCCTAATCATTCTATGATTCTATGATCTGGACGTGGGGAGTGAGCGCACCCTCAGTAAATATGCAGATGACACCAAGCTGAGTGGGAGTGTTGATCTGCTTGAGGATAGAAAGGCCTTACAGAGGGATCTGGACAGGCTGGATCAATGGACCAAGGCCAATGGGATGAGTTTCAATAAGGCCAAGTGCCGGGTCACAACACCCCCAGGCAGTGCTACAGGCTTGGGGAAGAATGGCTGGAGCTGCCTGGCAGAAAAGGACCTGGGGGTGTTAGAATCATAGACTCATCTAGGTTGGAAGGGACCTCAAAGATCATCTAGTCCAACCGTCAACCTAACTCTGACAAAAAAATAAATAAGAAACAAGCAATAAAAAAATTACTAAACCATATTCTTGAGGACCACGTCAACCCATCTTTTGAACACCTCCAGGGATGGTGCCTCAACCACTTCCCTGGGCAGCCTATTCCAATGCTGGATAACTCTTTCCATGAAGAATTTTTTCCTAATATCCAATCTAAACCTCCCCTGGCACAACTTGAGGCCATTTTTTTTTTTAAAGCCAGGATTGGTACTGCTGCGAATGTTGGTTGACTGTTGGCTGGACATGAGCCAGCAGTGTGCCCAGGTGGCCAAGAAGGCCAACAGCATCCTGGCCTGTATCAGGAACAGTGTGGTGAGTAAGACCTGAGAGGTGATCATCCCCCTGTACTCGGCACTGGTGAGGCCTCACCTCCAGTACTGTGTCCAGTTTTGGGCCCCTCACCACAAAAAAGACATAGAGGTGCTGGAGCGGGTCCAGAGAAGGGCAACAAAGCTGGTGAGGGGTCTGGAGCACAAGTCTTATGAGGAGAGGCTGAGGGAGCTGGGGTTGTTCAGCCTGGAGAAGAGGAGGCTGAGGGGAGACCTTATTGCGCTCTATAGCTCCCTGAAGGGAGGCTGGAGAGAGGTGGGGGTCGGTCTCTTCTCCTAAGTCACAGGTGATAGGACAAGGGGAAATGGCCTCAAGTTGCACCAGGGGAGGTTCAGATTGGATATTAGGAAAAGTTTCTTCACAGAAAGGTTTATCAAGCATTGGAATGGGCAGCCCAGGGAAGTGGTGGAGGCACCACCCCTGGAGGGATTTAAAAGCCAGGTTGACATAGTGCTTAGAGACAGGGTTTAGTGATGGTTTTTATCAAAGTTAGGTTGATGGTTGGACTAGATGATCTTAAAGGTCTCTTCCAACCTAGGCAATTCTATGACTCTATCCCAAGTCTCTCAGCGAATGCAGACTATACCCATGCTCCTGTTAACTCCACAAAGGATAAAAACTGAAATTTTAGTCCTGTTGAAGTTAACACAATTCCTACTAACTGACCCGTGCATCTTGCTTTATTTTTCTTTTTCTGTCTTGCTCTGTTTGGTAGAAATGTAGAATTGGTGCAGTCACCCATGTAAAATGGAAAGAAACAACAGGGAGCTGTAACTTCATTATTTTTCTCCTACAGTCTTTGCAAAAGATCCAGAAGCAGTAAACTCCCTATAAATACTGGTGATGGAAAAGATGTCAAGACGGTTGTCTGGGTCTTTTATGTAGATGACGATGTCTGAAGCGTATGCTGTGTTTTTTAATGCTTTGTTTTATTTTTTTGTGTTTTAATGCTTTGTACAGCATTCCCAGGAAATGATTCAGTAAGCTATTGCCCTGAAGTTTTCTGAGTATTTCTCCCTTGTCTTTCAGTCTGCCTTTTTTTTTTTTTACCCCCCCTTGGCCACACTTAGGTGCCTTGTGGACAGTGAGAATTCTGCCTGCTCTGTGTCTGACAGCAGGGAGTTTCATGGAGCAAGGCACACATAAAACACATAAAAGCAAGCTTTTCCTGCTGCCTTCACCCTTCCCGAATTCCTTTCCTCCTTCCTGGGAGAAAAAAGTAACCTGGACGTTCTGCTTCTGGAAACTCATTTGTTCTTTGCCCATTGGTGTTACTTCAAGAAGAGCAGCACCCAAGAGCAAGTGCTGGAGTGACACTCAGCTTTTTGACCTGAGCGTTTTCCATGCAGAAAGCCAGCAGCACAGCAAAAAGGTGAGGCACAGAAAGGTGCCATCTCTTGTCTTGTACAGGACAAGTGACAGCTTGTGCAGGACACTAGTGACAGCTCAGTCCCCTCCCACCGAGAGCAGGGAAGGGTGTGTTTCTTTGGGCAGAACTCATCATCCTTGATTTCAGTTATCTGCGGTGTGACCTTCTACACCTGCCTTCATGGAACTGACTCCACTCAGAGAAATAGTTCTAGGGGAAATTCATTTTCATCCTATGGTGTAATTAGTGATCCTTCAGAATTGAACGAATCTGCCTCTAAAGGAAGCCAGGATACAGGCATCTACGCAGTAACTGCTGGTGAAGGTGAATCCCGCCCGGCAGGCTGAGGGAAGTTCTGGTGACCGTATCTGAGGAGACGTTCTCCATTTGGCCCAGGGTGCCCCTGGCTGGAAGAAGGGACCCGCGGTGGTTGTTCTGCCGCTGCCCTCCAGAAACAGGGCAGCCTGGACCCCCCTGGGACATGGTCACATTAGTAGCTGTGAGGAGAAGGCACATTCCAGTGCCGCTGCTGTTTTACTGACCCCGTGAGAGAGTCGATTTAGATCCACTTTATTTGGAGTGATTAATTTAAGTTTAATTAAGGGATGTCAACTCGGCAGAACGCTGTCACAGTATAATGATCTCCTGCTGTTGCATAAATGTCAAGTCGGAGCTGGGACTTACTTCCAAAGCAGGAGGCATTTATCTTGTGACAGTGTTGGATTGAAGTGACTTGCTCCTGCTGCACCAAGTGGTGGGTGTAAATTGTCTGGCGCTGGTGCAGCAGACTGGAAGGTGCCTACTGCGGAGTGGGGTCTCCTGCAGCGCGGCAAAGGTGTTGGGACTCAGCATGGTGGCTCCTGTGCTCTTTTCTGGGGCTTTGAAGAGCGAGAACGATTTTCACGACTCTCATCCTCCACCCACCATTGCTGCCTCCAAACAGGTTCTCCTCTGTGAACTGCTTGCTAGACTGGGGCTGTCTATTCTCATAGAGAGGAGGCTGCGAAAACAGATTTAATTAGCCCAACCCTAATCTCTTAGCAATTACTGCTTTCCTCTGTAGTAGTCACTTCTGATACTAATTTGTCCTCGGCACAGGAAGGACATGGACCTATTGGAACGGGTCCAGCAGAGGTCCATGAAAATGATCCGAGGGCAGGAGCACCTCTCCTATGAAGACAGGCTGAAAAAGTTGGGGTTGTTCAGCCTGGAGAAGAGAAGGCTTCAGGGAGAGACCTTATAACAGCCTTCCAGTACCTAAGGGGGGCCTACAGGAGAGATGGGGAGGGACTGTGGCAGGCTGTGGGGTGACAGGATGAAGGGTAATGGTTTTAAACTGAAAGAGGGTAGATCTAGATTAGGTATTGGGAAGAAATTCTTTACTGTGAGGGTGGTGAGACACTGGAACAGGTTGCCCAGTGAAGCTGTGGATGCCCCATCACTAGAAGTGTTCAAGGCCAGGCTGGATGGGGCTTTGAGCAACCTGATCTAGTGAGAAGTGTCCCTGTCCACGGCAGGGGGCGTTGGAACTTGATGATCTTTAAGGTCCCTTCCAACCTAAACCATTCTATGATTCTATGATTTTATTTGAGGGCGAATTGTGTTTCTATCTACCAGACTCTTTACATTGTCAGTACCTGATGAGGATCAGCTATTGTCTAATCAAGAGCAGCTTCGGTTTGTTCCCAGATGGTGCTATCCCTGTTGGATCTCTCTAGTGCTGCTTCCGTATGGACCTGACCCCTGAAAAACCACTTGACACCAATTGCTCCGTGATCTTACCACCTCAAGCACTTGTGCTTGTTGCAGACTGAGGTCTAATGAAGACTGGGTTGAAGGAGAGAGAAGAGGACTGGGGGAAGACTTTTACAGGTCTGTACTTTGGGAGAAAAGCTGGACAGCCAAAGATTATGCAGATTAAAGAAAGACAGACAAACCCCACGTCATCAGTTTTTACCTGTCTACAACAATCTTGGGCTCTGAAAGATTACAAACGCAAATACTTACGTTGTATGGGTTGTCTGGATTAAGTGTTTCATCGGTTTCTTGTCCCATTGGCCCTGTTTCATTAGCTTGGTGCCCAAGCTCCTGATTCAGCTGTGTGGTGGGTGATCTGGTGTTTACTTCTTCCATAGCAGCTTCCAAGTCTTCCGTATCAAAGTTTGATTCTGTTTGGCGTTTGTTTCTCTTCATTTCTCTCCTTTGGTTATCTGAGGAAGTAATCACAGGAGGATAACCTCGTCTTCAGCACATCCTTGTATTTGTCCACATGCTATTTAAGGTGTCAAAAGATTCAGATTAGATCTCAGGAAGAAATTCTTTACTGTGAGGGTGGTGAGACACTGGAACAGGTTGCCCAGGGAAGTTGTGGATGCCCCATCCCTGGAAGTGTTCAAGGCCAGGCTGGATGTGGCCTTGAGCAACCTGGTCTAGTGGGAGGTGTCCCTGCCCATGGCAGGGGGGTTGGAACTAGATGATCTTTAAGGTCCCTTCCAACCCTAATCATTCTATGATTCTATGATCTGGACGTGGGGAGTGAGCGCACCCTCAGTAAATATGCAGATGACACCAAGCTGAGTGGGAGTGTTGATCTGCTTGAGGATAGAAAGGCCTTACAGAGGGATCTGGACAGGCTGGATCAATGGACCAAGGCCAATGGGATGAGTTTCAATAAGGCCAAGTGCCGGGTCACAACACCCCCAGGCAGTGCTACAGGCTTGGGGAAGAATGGCTGGAGCTGCCTGGCAGAAAAGGACCTGGGGGTGTTAGAATCATAGACTCATCTAGGTTGGAAGGGACCTCAAAGATCATCTAGTCCAACCGTCAACCTAACTCTGACAAAAAAATAAATAAGAAACAAGCAATAAAAAAATTACTAAACCATATTCTTGAGGACCACGTCAACCCATCTTTTGAACACCTCCAGGGATGGTGCCTCAACCACTTCCCTGGGCAGCCTATTCCAATGCTGGATAACTCTTTCCATGAAGAATTTTTTCCTAATATCCAATCTAAACCTCCCCTGGCACAACTTGAGGCCATTTTTTTTTTTAAAGCCAGGATTGGTACTGCTGCGAATGTTGGTTGACTGTTGGCTGGACATGAGCCAGCAGTGTGCCCAGGTGGCCAAGAAGGCCAACAGCATCCTGGCCTGTATCAGGAACAGTGTGGTGAGTAAGACCTGAGAGGTGATCATCCCCCTGTACTCGGCACTGGTGAGGCCTCACCTCCAGTACTGTGTCCAGTTTTGGGCCCCTCACCACAAAAAAGACATAGAGGTGCTGGAGCGGGTCCAGAGAAGGGCAACAAAGCTGGTGAGGGGTCTGGAGCACAAGTCTTATGAGGAGAGGCTGAGGGAGCTGGGGTTGTTCAGCCTGGAGAAGAGGAGGCTGAGGGGAGACCTTATTGCGCTCTATAGCTCCCTGAAGGGAGGCTGGAGAGAGGTGGGGGTCGGTCTCTTCTCCTAAGTCACAGGTGATAGGACAAGGGGAAATGGCCTCAAGTTGCACCAGGGGAGGTTCAGATTGGATATTAGGAAAAGTTTCTTCACAGAAAGGTTTATCAAGCATTGGAATGGGCAGCCCAGGGAAGTGGTGGAGGCACCACCCCTGGAGGGATTTAAAAGCCAGGTTGACATAGTGCTTAGAGACAGGGTTTAGTGATGGTTTTTATCAAAGTTAGGTTGATGGTTGGACTAGATGATCTTAAAGGTCTCTTCCAACCTAGGCAATTCTATGACTCTATCCCAAGTCTCTCAGCGAATGCAGACTATACCCATGCTCCTGTTAACTCCACAAAGGATAAAAACTGAAATTTTAGTCCTGTTGAAGTTAACACAATTCCTACTAACTGACCCGTGCATCTTGCTTTATTTTTCTTTTTCTGTCTTGCTCTGTTTGGTAGAAATGTAGAATTGGTGCAGTCACCCATGTAAAATGGAAAGAAACAACAGGGAGCTGTAACTTCATTATTTTTCTCCTACAGTCTTTGCAAAAGATCCAGAAGCAGTAAACTCCCTATAAATACTGGTGATGGAAAAGATGTCAAGACGGTTGTCTGGGTCTTTTATGTAGATGACGATGTCTGAAGCGTATGCTGTGTTTTTTAATGCTTTGTTTTATTTTTTTGTGTTTTAATGCTTTGTACAGCATTCCCAGGAAATGATTCAGTAAGCTATTGCCCTGAAGTTTTCTGAGTATTTCTCCCTTGTCTTTCAGTCTGCCTTTTTTTTTTTTTACCCCCCCTTGGCCACACTTAGGTGCCTTGTGGACAGTGAGAATTCTGCCTGCTCTGTGTCTGACAGCAGGGAGTTTCATGGAGCAAGGCACACATAAAACACATAAAAGCAAGCTTTTCCTGCTGCCTTCACCCTTCCCGAATTCCTTTCCTCCTTCCTGGGAGAAAAAAGTAACCTGGACGTTCTGCTTCTGGAAACTCATTTGTTCTTTGCCCATTGGTGTTACTTCAAGAAGAGCAGCACCCAAGAGCAAGTGCTGGAGTGACACTCAGCTTTTTGACCTGAGCGTTTTCCATGCAGAAAGCCAGCAGCACAGCAAAAAGGTGAGGCACAGAAAGGTGCCATCTCTTGTCTTGTACAGGACAAGTGACAGCTTGTGCAGGACACTAGTGACAGCTCAGTCCCCTCCCACCGAGAGCAGGGAAGGGTGTGTTTCTTTGGGCAGAACTCATCATCCTTGATTTCAGTTATCTGCGGTGTGACCTTCTACACCTGCCTTCATGGAACTGACTCCACTCAGAGAAATAGTTCTAGGGGAAATTCATTTTCATCCTATGGTGTAATTAGTGATCCTTCAGAATTGAACGAATCTGCCTCTAAAGGAAGCCAGGATACAGGCATCTACGCAGTAACTGCTGGTGAAGGTGAATCCCGCCCGGCAGGCTGAGGGAAGTTCTGGTGACCGTATCTGAGGAGACGTTCTCCATTTGGCCCAGGGTGCCCCTGGCTGGAAGAAGGGACCCGCGGTGGTTGTTCTGCCGCTGCCCTCCAGAAACAGGGCAGCCTGGACCCCCCTGGGACATGGTCACATTAGTAGCTGTGAGGAGAAGGCACATTCCAGTGCCGCTGCTGTTTTACTGACCCCGTGAGAGAGTCGATTTAGATCCACTTTATTTGGAGTGATTAATTTAAGTTTAATTAAGGGATGTCAACTCGGCAGAACGCTGTCACAGTATAATGATCTCCTGCTGTTGCATAAATGTCAAGTCGGAGCTGGGACTTACTTCCAAAGCAGGAGGCATTTATCTTGTGACAGTGTTGGATTGAAGTGACTTGCTCCTGCTGCACCAAGTGGTGGGTGTAAATTGTCTGGCGCTGGTGCAGCAGACTGGAAGGTGCCTACTGCGGAGTGGGGTCTCCTGCAGCGCGGCAAAGGTGTTGGGACTCAGCATGGTGGCTCCTGTGCTCTTTTCTGGGGCTTTGAAGAGCGAGAACGATTTTCACGACTCTCATCCTCCACCCACCATTGCTGCCTCCAAACAGGTTCTCCTCTGTGAACTGCTTGCTAGACTGGGGCTGTCTATTCTCATAGAGAGGAGGCTGCGAAAACAGATTTAATTAGCCCAACCCTAATCTCTTAGCAATTACTGCTTTCCTCTGTAGTAGTCACTTCTGATACTAATTTGTCCTCGGCACAGGAAGGACATGGACCTATTGGAACGGGTCCAGCAGAGGTCCATGAAAATGATCCGAGGGCAGGAGCACCTCTCCTATGAAGACAGGCTGAAAAAGTTGGGGTTGTTCAGCCTGGAGAAGAGAAGGCTTCAGGGAGAGACCTTATAACAGCCTTCCAGTACCTAAGGGGGGCCTACAGGAGAGATGGGGAGGGACTGTGGCAGGCTGTGGGGTGACAGGATGAAGGGTAATGGTTTTAAACTGAAAGAGGGTAGATCTAGATTAGGTATTGGGAAGAAATTCTTTACTGTGAGGGTGGTGAGACACTGGAACAGGTTGCCCAGTGAAGCTGTGGATGCCCCATCACTAGAAGTGTTCAAGGCCAGGCTGGATGGGGCTTTGAGCAACCTGATCTAGTGAGAAGTGTCCCTGTCCATGGCAGGGGGCGTTGGAACTTGATGATCTTTAAGGTCCCTTCCAACCTAAACCATTCTATGATTCTATGATTTTATTTGAGGGCGAATTGTGTTTCTATCTACCAGACTCTTTACATTGTCAGTACCTGATGAGGATCAGCTATTGTCTAATCAAGAGCAGCTTCGGTTTGTTCCCAGATGGTGCTATCCCTGTTGGATCTCTCTAGTGCTGCTTCCGTATGGACCTGACCCCTGAAAAACCACTTGACACCAATTGCTCCGTGATCTTACCACCTCAAGCACTTGTGCTTGTTGCAGACTGAGGTCTAATGAAGACTGGGTTGAAGGAGAGAGAAGAGGACTGGGGGAAGACTTTTACAGGTCTGTACTTTGGGAGAAAAGCTGGACAGCCAAAGATTATGCAGATTAAAGAAAGACAGACAAACCCCACGTCATCAGTTTTTACCTGTCTACAACAATCTTGGGCTCTGAAAGATTACAAACGCAAATACTTACGTTGTATGGGTTGTCTGGATTAAGTGTTTCATCGGTTTCTTGTCCCATTGGCCCTGTTTCATTAGCTTGGTGCCCAAGCTCCTGATTCAGCTGTGTGGTGGGTGATCTGGTGTTTACTTCTTCCATAGCAGCTTCCAAGTCTTCCGTATCAAAGTTTGATTCTGTTTGGCGTTTGTTTCTCTTCATTTCTCTCCTTTGGTTATCTGAGGAAGTAATCACAGGAGGATAACCTCGTCTTCAGCACATCCTTGTATTTGTCCACATGCTATTTAAGGTGTCGGTGATTTCTTTGAGTATTTTTTAAAAAGGGGAGGGGGAGGCAAAACTGTGTGATGGCAAGCTTGATGAGCATCCCCATGGGAGCTATTTGCCTTGTGGTGTTGTATCTGCAGCCAATGTCAATCCAAAAGGGTGAGAGATTTTTTTTTTCCCCCTTCTTCTTACTCTTTAGGCAAAGCAAGTGTGAGGAGATTTGGTTGTTTGGGGTTATTTTTTTGACCCACCCTGTGGTCACTGATGTGAACTTGGCAGCAGTTGCCAGCACGAGCAAGACCTGTCATAGGCATCTGTTTGTTTTTTTTTTTTAAGGTGCTTTGATGACAGGCTGGTGCCCTGCTCCCAAGGGCAGCTGGTGAAACTAGTGGAAACAGTTTCTGGACAGCTTTGATGCTGCTCTTTGCCCAGTGGGATATACAAGGACAAAGAAAAGTGGAGAATATGGGTGGTTTGGATCCACAGGCAGTCTGAAATGTGGTGGGTTTTTTTATTATTTTCTTTTTTTTTCCTCCCACCCTTTTTTGAGTGTTCCAATATTAACTAGACCAAGGAGGAGTTAAATCTTTTCAAGCCTTCTCCTCTCCTCCCAGGCCTGGAAGTTACCTGGAGAAGTAGCCTCCTCCCTGGTGACTCCTGAACACCTTTTGCTGAGCTTGGCTGTGGGTGGTGGGAGTACTTCAGTCCTGCCACTGCCCCAGGACCTCATAAACTTCATCTGCCAGTTGCCTACCTAAAGCATCTCATCCTTCTGCTCCACTGAAACCTTCTGGAGAAGCAGGGCAGGAAACAGGACAGGCTGCGGTCCCAGATCAGGAGCTTGATATTCCTCAACTCTTGGCCAGGTGTAATGTTCCTGCTACATGGTGTCAGCTGCCTGAATGTTTTGGGGGCTAGTTTAAGCTGTTGTCTTCTCCTTCTGTAGAAGGAGCCTGACCTCTCTGGGGATGTTTCATCTCATAGTAAGTGACCCACGCGGGCTATACAAATTGTCTCAGGAAATACAACTGTGGAAAATGTCTAGGAAGTGTGGATAAACTCCAAACTTGCAATCTTGGCACCAACCCTCAAGGGCTTGGGAAGACAGGCTGGGCAAGAGAGGAAAGGATCCTGGTTTACCCAGGTGTGCAGGTCTTGGTGGCAAACCTGCTTTGGGGAAGGCCTTTAGATGAAGGGAGGGATAACACACTTTTCAAATAAAAGAAGCGTTACCTTTGGGATATGTTGGTCGCAGCCAGAAAATTGGAAGATCCCCGCAAAGCTCTAGAATTTTGGGGCTTAGGAAACTGTTATGCTTGATAGGCTCGTCTGCAGCCACCCAGATAAGGGAGTTTTCGTCGAATCTCACAGGCATGATTTCATCTTCCTGCAAATAGAAGAGCACAAATCCTTTGCCAGCTCAGTGAACAGGCGTGTGCCTCCTTCCTGCTAATTCTTGAGCACCAGGCTGTATAATCAGCCGCTGCAGCTAATACCCAGCCTCCTCATTTCGTGAGTGTGAACCCATTGCACCGAGCCAAAGCCCGAGCAAAGGTTGCCACCACTGAAACGGATGGCACAGCTACCATCAGTTTTGCTGGGGCTGAAATTTCACCCGTCTCTCTCTTGGAAGGCTTTTGCCCCGTGTCCAAGGACGAGGTGTTGGGAGATCTTTCAGCCCGGAGTGCCAGATTTTCAAGCGGTAGAAACCGTGGAGATTTAGCACTTTCAGCAGAGCAGCGATGAAATGCGCCAGCCAAAATCAAGACCCTCATCTTTTATCACGCCCCGTTCTCATTTGATGTACTCCCAAGAGATAACTGTATTTACAATAGGGGGGGAATAAAAAAAAAAAAAAAAAAAAAACATGTGCGTATTTTATTGGGCAGGGACTTGAAAGCTAGATTCCTGCATTAATTCACTTTCTAGAGAAAAATGAATGCTAACAATTTACTAAAAAAAATAATAGATTATATAGAAAGATTAGTATTATATAACTAACATGCAAGATACATAAGCAAGTGATAAAAAAAAAAAAAAAAAAAAAGAAAGTCTTGTTCAAAAGCTTTAGAGAGGATTATAGCTTGAGAACTCCTCCAGCTTCCAGTTTTAAGGCAACGTGATCGCTCTGATTAAAGGTCTCGTTTGGTGAAAGCAATTCAATTGACCAAGAGCTTGAAGTGCGAGTTAAAGGAGCCTGCCTTTTTGAAGTGTACCCTGCAGGTTTTTGGTTCATATCTTCAAAGTAATGTAGGAAAATGCCAGTGATTGATTCTTTAAAGTTGTTAGTTCAAAGTATTATTTTACATAAAATGTGTAAGTATTTTATAGCAACAGTGAAATATTAAAAGAAAACCAACTTGTGAATCATGAAAACCAGTATGATTTCAAAGTTAAAATTCTAAATTGCTTCCATAAAAGTCATCAAAACTTGTTATATAACTGACTAGATCAATTTATTCCGTCGAGTTGCTGTTCCTTTAATGTGTTTATTGATTTCTTTTGTAGGTCTCAAGTCATCTAAGTTCGCTATCCAATCTGTCTAGTGCGAAGTGCTCTTTATTTATATTCTCCCACTTAAGCTTTTATCAGCATCAGAAATATCCAAATCTAATTTTCAGACATAAAAATATCCTTTGTTTCTGTTCGAGGTGATCCTGACTTGTGAGCAGGCGGAGTTCGGGCAACTCTAAGAGCTTATTTTAATCACTCGTTTTCATAGGCAGTGTTGGTTATGATACATGTTGTAAGAAAATATACTTTCTCCTAAATACATGTGTATCAGGGAGAGGGCTTGCTCTAGAAAAATAAAAATACTACTTTGCCATTCCCTTCGTGCATCTAAGCTGGAAAGTCAAGCAACAGGGAAAGGTTCATACCCCAACGGCAGCATTGAGTCTGCTGCTTGGTTTGGCCTTGGTGCGTATGGTGTATTGCAGGGGTTGTGTAGGTGATGGATCCTTGGAGATGGAAACAGGTATTCTCTAGCCAGGTGGAAGACTAGAAATAACTTTTTCACTATTTTAGGACGACATCTTCAGGATCATGACTTTGTTCTTACAAAAAGATGAAAAATTGAAACCTTGACTTCAGGCGAGAGCACCACCGAAGTCAAGCAGCCCAGCCTGCCTTTAAGATAAGGCAAGGCGGGAAAGATCTAGGTCCCTGCCTGGAATCTGGGCAAGATCTCTTCCCCATCATGGCAAAAATGTCACCAGCTTCAGGGGCCTTTGTAACATCGCTGGTGCCTTGCTGATTATCGGATTGAGAGATGCCTTTTTCCTATTCGGTAATCACACAGTCTCTCTCCCAACTAATTTTATCTCTCTAATTTTCTCTGGAGAAGAGCTAATCCAAGGAAAGGGCTTGTGGATCTCCTGAGATCTCCTGCCAGTGGGTGAGCCCCCACCAGTCTCCAGGCTCAGCCATACTCAAGTCACTGGAGACACTCCTGTCTCAGCAATGGGTTTGAGGAGTCTGAGCTCTGGGAAACTCAGGCTTTGCACACCTAAAGTGATGGGCTTTTTGACAGATGTGAGGTAAAGAGAGGTTTTTGGCAGTATCTGGGTGAGAACTGCAGCTTTTTTGGTGGTTGTGATACAGATTCCATGAGATTTAGTTAACATGTCCTAAAATGAAGTCTGATGCCGTTTAAGAAGGCAAATTATTAATTTTTTAAACTATTATTTCTTCTGAGTTAGCTGAATTTTTGCAAGAATGTTTTCCAGGGTTCCCCTTTATTGACTATTTCAGAGGAATTGGGTGGTAGAGTCCCTAGGGGCTTCTGCTCAAGAACATTGCTAGAAATCTCCTGGGATCTACCACTATCCCTCTTTGCATTGACTAAAGCAGCAGCTTCCTCCATGCTCTCCCTTCCAGCCTTGTGCTCAGCCTGATCCCAGGCAGATGTGCTTGTCATTGAGGTCTCCCGTGGATCTGCTAGACACTGGTCACCCCACTCCTCAGTCTGCAGATTCCCACCATGCCTCTAGACACAGAGCAATAAGTGCACCTCTGGCACCAATCTTGCTTTTCTTACCTTTTGGGGACCCCTTGCAATCGGTCAATGGACCCTCAACTCTCCACTGATGACTGCTCATTGCAGGGGGTTTGGACTAGATGGCTTTAAAGGTCCTTTCCAACCTAAACAATTCTATGTTGCCCAGAGAAGCTGTGGATGCCCCATCCCTGGAGGTGTTCAAGGCCAGGCTGGATGGGGCTTTGAGCAACCTGGTCTGGTGGGAGGTGTCCCTGCCTGTGGCAGGGGGGTTGGAACTTGATGATCTTTAAGGTTGCTTCCAACTCTAACCATTCTATGATTCTATGACTTCAGTGGTTTTCATACGTCACTTTTATATGTATTCAAATACCCCTTTAAGTCCCTCTCCATACAAAGATTTGTGTTTTTTAAAAAATAAATGAATTGCCCCTTACCAGCTCAGAGGAGAGGCTCGCTTTAGTCATGGCATCAACTTCGGGGACGTGAGCTTTTGGCTGAGCTTTGATGTAACACTTTTCTCCTTCAGCAAAACGGATCCCAGTGATGCCCTGCAAAAGCAGAAGGCGGGGGGTTACGTGCAGCCCTCCAGCTCCCCACCGCCCCCAGGAAAGCGCTTAAAGTTGCCACTGGATTTTCAGCCCAAAGGTTAAATCTTATTTAAAACCAGATGCCATGAACCGCTCTTCCCTCATGGCTTTAGCTTTACGATTTTTGGGCAAATGGGTCTAGAAGTTTTCCCTGGGTTTCTGAAGGATTTGGGGGTGTTTTATATAAGTGCCTCCACGCCAGCTGTAGGCTACTTGAAGGAGCTCTGTGAAGGAATTAGTTGACACGATTTGAACCGCAACTTAGCACCCAACGTAGGCAGCCTCGCAATTTGTGTGAGCTGGCGGTGTGGTACCTTTGTGACACAGACTCAGCAAAAATGTGGGGGCAGCTGGGTCCAATTTACACACATAAGTGGCTGTGACAGCAAGGGGGAAGCTCGTGATGGGGAATTCGGTGCAGAAATCTGTGTGGGGGACTTCCTTCGCTGAGGGTGAAATGCAGTTGCCTAAACCAGGGATGTTGAGTTTTAAGCAAGAGGAAGGGTATCTATCTCAGCAGCTCCGGGGGACTGCAAGGTCTCCTGCAAGTCCAGGGTTGTATCTGCCACAGCCCTATGCTGGCACCTTGGGTACCAACACTTGGGCAGGGGAACCTTGTCTGTAGCTTCTGTGTTTCTGCTGTAGGTTTTGGGGTGCCTGTAAAAGAGCTGTCCTTTATGTTGTGAATTCAGGTATTTTCCTGTAGATGTATGTTTTTCGTAGGGTTGCATGAGCTCCATTTGACCACCTAAATATAAACATCTAGTGCCATTTGAGAGACGCTGTATTTCTGTCCAACCTCAAGCTGCTGGGCCAAGGGGGCACGAGTGTCATCACAGCCCCTGTCACCTGCCTAGTATGGGCACCATAGGTACTGTAGGCATCTAATGGGGCTTGAGATGGACAGTACTGAGGCACCTGAGCCTCATTCTGTGTGCTGCAAGTCCTGTGCAGCTGGACAGATGCTCATCAAACCCAAATGACTAATTCTAAAGCGGCGAGGGAGGGGATGGCAGTGCAGGGATGAGCGCACAGGGGGATGAGACTTTGTGGTGCACCGAGCGTGCGAGGAGCATCCTAATATTGCCAAATCCAAGTCTTCACCGACCGTGCAATCCTCGCAGCCGTGCCAGTCAATCCAAAGCTGCTAATGGAAATGCCTGGCTGCTTGGAAGTGCACCTCTTCCATTTCTGTCTCCTTTATGTGCGTTCTTGGCTCAAAACCCGACTGGCAGCATCTCGGTGCTCTGGCCGAGCTGGTCCCCTGCCCGCTGTAATTACCCGTGGGCACAGTCCCTGGGAGGTGCCTTCAGCTGGTCGGTGCTGGGAGCTGATTTCTGACCTGAGCTTACCAGCAGCAGGCATGGAGGCGACGTCAACTCAACATCTCCCCAGCCGGCTGGTGCTTCTGTGCAGATGTGGAACGGTGAAGGCAAAGGAGGAGACCTCGTTGTGGGTGCCCTTATTCAGCTGCTAATATAGTGTTGCCATGGTGATGTTAACGAGAGTTTCATGAGGGCTGAGCTGCAGCTGTCAGGGAAGTCGGGGTCCTGGGTCTCCTGGAGTCAATTAGTTTGAACTTGCTGAGAAGGCAAGGAGCTGCATTTCCTCACCTTTCTAGATGCAGCAAGTGGAAAAGGCCCAGAAGGCCTGGGCAAGTCTTTCCGACAGCAGCATCTTTAAGTGGACTCTTTACAGAGGACTTACCTCTGAAGTTGAGTGTTTCACACCCGGGAAGGTTAATTGCAGGATCTGGGTGCTGCAAACGGGTTCCTGCAGCGCCGCACGGATGTGCCTTTAGCAGCTCAGAGGTGGTGCAGCTGGGTGGACCTCTCTGTCGGAGTGGCTGGGCTCTGCTGACCCTGGGCACCTGTTAGCCTGGGCTCTGTCAGCGCTGAACAGCTGCAGCCAAGCCCCTGGGCTACCCCCCCCCGTGTTTGCTGTCAGCCCAAGTGGGTGCAGTTGGTGCAGGGATGCATCAGCTGTGCTAAATGCCCCCATCCTCTCCCCTGGGCCAAGCTGTGGAGAGCAGCTCCCACCCATGATCTCAGGGTCCAGTGCTGTGTGGTGGTCTCTCCTGGCATCTACCTGGCTTACTATGTTGACCCTGTGCTCCTAAAATGGGGATATTTTGGGAAGGAGTGCGTGGCTTTTTTTGGCTCAAATCATACAAAATGATGCAGGGGCTGTGGCACAGCCTTCCGGAACATGTTTCTAGCAAGACCCCCAAGGGCACACAAGTTGCAGCTGTGTCCAATCGTTTGAAAACGCCAAGTGCTACAGGGAGCCAAACCTGATGCAGCCTAATCCATACCGCTTCCCGGAGCACGACCTGGCATCGGCCTGTCCCCACAAGGCACTTAGACTTTGTTTTGGAGGAAACTGCCTGTCTTGCTGTGAAAGCAAACCATGAGAGTGTGGATGCTTGTGGTTCCAGCCAGCTGGGGGCTGGAACCCGAGACCCCCAGGGGCAGAGAGGTGGGGGCAAGGCAGGGTATCCTTAGAGTCCAGCACTGGAACATGTTACATGAAGGCCACAGGTGGTGGTACTTACAATCTGAAAATCATGAACTTCAACAGCCTCTTCACTCCCACTTCCCGTTTTGAATGTCTCTAAGTTGTTTCCAGCATCTATTTCCATCGATCCGTCTTGTACTTTTCCATTAATGCTCATGGTATAGTGAACATTGTACACCTGAAATCGATAAAAGAGCAGTAGCACACGTCAATAATTGCTTATTGCCTTCCTACTACACCAGGTGATGGGTCAAATCTGACTGTCATAACCCTATTCAGCTCCTAACTTTTATTTCTGTAGGCATTTGATAACTCTCTAGCAACCACCACCACCCCACTGCAACACTTCGCTGTTGTGTCAGGCCAGCAGTGGAGCAGGTTGCCCTGAGAAATTGTGCAGTCTCCATCCTTGAAAGTCTTCAAGGCCCAACTGGATAAAGCCCTGAGCAACCAGCTCTGACCCCACAGCTGTCCCTGCTCTGAGCAGCAGGTAGGACTAGAGACCTCGTGAGGTTCCTCCTCCAGGGACCACTCACAGTTTTACCTCAAAAACAACGTGGGGCAAGTCCACATCCAGGCTCACTCTGATTAAAAAACCTTCTTCTAGGTCATATTTTAGGAATCATTTCTTATGCTGGCATGATTCCCAAAGGGAGAGTAGGAGCGAGCATCCTACTCTGAAGGAGGCAAACGCCTATTTATCTCTTAGGATGTTCTGCTGAGGTGCAGGAAAACGGGTTCCTCTTGAATATGAACATGCTTCCTAGCTTGTAATGGATGTGAACTTTGTTTAAATTGGATGTGAAGTTGTATAGACTTGTATTTTCCTTGTCAGCGTATTTGCTCTTATCCTATTTTCAATGAGGAAAGCTGCAGCGTGGTTTGTATTTGCTGGAGGACCACAATCTGTGGAGGAGTTCTGCGATTCTCTTGTTGCAGCTCTGCTGAAAGTGCTGCACAAGCAGTTTACTTTTGGTCTTAAAAAAGCCTTACAGCATTTTAATGAAAAATTTACACTGACAGCTAGAGACAAATTTCTTCTTCTCTCACCTTCAATCAGGAAAGTCTAAGGTGCTAAAGATTTATGGTTTCTCAGCTGTACAGATTCAGCTTCGTGTTCTTGGCTGTCTAGGACTCCCGTTGAACGTGGTCCATAAAACTGGCCCAGTGTACATGGTCTCCTCTGCTAGGGGCTTAGCTAGAGTTGAGGCTTTGTTACCCTTGTTACTTATGGGAGAATTTAAAGGTTTAAAATAAAAATACTTTTTTTAAAAAATGAATGACCCTACATATAATTTCTACAGTTGCTTCCTAAATATGTGCAAGTCAAGTGTAGCTTTATGAGTTCGAAGGCAGCTTGGAAAATAACTCCAAGCTTTCCCAGTGTCTCTTTCACTTGGAGCTCAACTTCGAAGCTTAATGACAGCTATGAATGTGACACATTTTGCAAAGCAGAATTTAGATGCCAGGAGCAATGAAAAAAAAAGGGAAACTTTGTCCTGCATTCCACAAATGCACCCCCCAGGTCAGAGCTGAATGTGCTGTACCCCCTCCCTGCCCACCTCCCCGTTCCACTCACACCCCCTTTTCGAAGCCAAGAGCAGCAGATGGCTCTACAGCACGTCCCGGGGGTCAGCCACGTGTCCTGTCGTTTTGGTGTAAAACCTTGTGCTTTCTGATTATGTGAATTGTCCCTCTGTGATGGGTGTATCTCACAGAGGGACCTCTGCTCTGGCTGCTGGGATTCACACAAGGCTCTCCTTGATGGCGACCAAGCCCTGGGCTGGAGGCGGTACAGAGCTTCGTCCAAAGTAAATTCAGAGATACTAATTGCACTTACAGAGCAAGTTACGTTCACATGTGCACCATCAGATTTCAAATATGTTTTAAACCCGGTTCTTATGTAAACAGAAAGAAAAGTTAATATTTGAACACGCTGTAGTGCTCTGAAGTTTGGTTCCTAAACTGATCCGTTTCGTTCTTTGCACACAGGGTTTTTCCTGTACCCCGGGAAAATGTAAATAATAAAACTTATCATGGCTTTAAAAATTGCTCCACAGCTGCTAACCGTAAAGGCTTATGTGTATGCACAGTCATACAAACCACCAGCAAGAAATACTGGTGCCTATTAATGGGTTAAATATAGCGTTACATATTTGAGGGTCCAGGTAGGATCTGGCCCGAGAATGCTGATGATGTGAAAAAGGAATTCACCCATTTCAATGCTTTTTTTGTCCTGAGAGCTGGAGTTTGCCCGGGATGTGAATCCCTGGGGACTTGTTGGGGTTTGAGTTTGCTGAGGGTTTGCGAGCAGCAATCAATGTAGCGTCTGTGCTCTCAAAGATACCTTTCAGGTTCATTAATAAAGGGGCTTCCACCAGGCTCCATCCCAACAGCCCGTAAAGATAATGATTATAGAGGGGTTTGGGGGATTTTATAAAAAAAAAAAAAAAAAAAGGAGGGGAAAAAAAAAAAATCTTCACCAGGCCAGGCAAATACGGGGAAAAGTTTCACCTATCTTTAAAAAAAAAAAAAAAAAAAAAGGCGTGGAGAAAATAAAGATCTGCTTAAAGATCTCTTTATCGCCCTCGCAAGGAAAGTTTCCAGCTTCTGCCTCTTCTCACATGAAACCGGCTCAACCCCTCCACCCCAGTCCCGAGGTGAGGATGCTCCTCCGGGCTCGGCGCCCGCCCTCACCTGCCGCTCGGTGGCTTTCCAGAAGTAGAAGGCGCCGATGGCCCCGGCCAGCAGCAGGAGGGCTCCGGCGATCAGCACGGCCGCCCCCGCCTTCAGCAGCCGCCCCGGCCCGGGGGGCGCCGCCGCCGCCGCCGCGTACGCCTGCGGAGAGCGCGGTGCTGGCTGCCGGGCACGGACCGACCCCCGGCC